AACCCCTCTAGGGCTCTCTCTAGTGGAGGGAGGTCCTTCTATCAGCAGTGGCGTTAACAAATTGCTGGGCAGCATTGATATACAGGGCCCTCTCGGTACTCAGTGGGGTCCCGTGCACATGGGGTGAGGCAACGTGGAACCCAAGAGACTGATTTGGAGAAAGGCATAGAGACACAAAGGGACACTGAGAGAGATACTGTACACACAGGGAAAGACATGAAGAGACACAAAGAGAGACATGGATGGAGACAGACACGACCGTATAACAACCGGTGATTTTGCACGTGTTGTATAAATGCATGTATGGCATGGCATACGCGCTTGACACTGAGATGGTAATACAATAAGAACTGATGTAGCATGAGATGCGTGCATACATCACGTATACATTTTCCATTACTTTACCAAGCTAGGTTGAGGCCATCTGCTCTGCTGAAGCGGCATTCACCATGGCAGCTCTCAAGAGGGATTGACACCCGAAGCATCATGCGCTACACCAGTGGCTGACAAAGTTTTTTTCACCACGGACCACCTCGCCCCCCCATCTCTAAATGCCAGTAATACAAAGTGATTCATTTTATCTAAACATAAAAACATTCTTTTTAAATGTAGTGATAAGATGATTTTTTTGGGCGGGGGAGGGGGGGGACATTTAGATCGTAGGGTTAGGGTAGTTTAATCAGGGTAGTTTACTTAACTTGTAATTAAATATCACAAGTAAACTATTAATTAACTATCGAAACAGAAGGTATAAACGTCATTATCGTCTGGATCAACCTGCATTTGCATCACAGCCCCGCGGACCACCTGAAGGTCCTTCACAACCCACCGGTGGTCCAGGCACCACACTCTGAGAACCACTGCGATACCACAGGACATTCACGGCTGGACTCGCTGCTCACCACAATGGCAAACTGCGTATATGCCGTACCCTGCTGTCTAAGCAGATTTCCGTTGGCATGTCAAGTTTAATCCCACATCCAAGGCCCCACCATGGTACATTAGATAATGGATTTTCCACGTCAACTCTGATTTGATTAATTAGGGAAAGGCATATATCCTGCAGACCATGAAAAATTAGCATCAATAGAAATATACAATATTTAGAATTCACTTACCAACCTTGAATAAAATACCCAATTAATACTGTATGGAACAAGTAAAAGTAAACTGACATTAGGAATGCATGATACAATATGTAAATAAAGTTTATTATACAAATAATAGGCTGTCCATAAATTAAGTTAAGTACACTACTGTACTAAGGATTTTATACTCAATCGGCTGACTAACAAAACACCTGAATGTATGAAATAACAGTATTTAATGATTATTTCGTTTTGTCATTCAACTGCTGGATGAAGGCTTCCTATGTATGTTGAACTTGTGTAGGTTGAACTTCTTTCAAACCGTACATAGCCAACCGTGCTAATCGGAGGTGATGTCATGTCAGTCATGGGGGTTGTTTGGCCATACTTCATCATTCTGGTCAGTGAGAGTTCGTGAATGGCGAGGCCGAGGCCAAAGACCGGTTCTGATTCTGCTCCCCACCAATGTTAGCTGTGGCTGGCAATCGAACTCTGGTTGCCGGGCTGATAGCGCGGTGTGCTGACCACAACAGCACCGCGCCCCCGCATGCATAATGGCCAGAGAAATATGAACATTGCACCTTACTCTCTATACTAGGAGTGTAAAGACGTATCCCTCCAGTGTTTTTATTAATTTCCGTGATGCTGGTTTGCAATCTGATTCAAGAATCAATTATATTTTAACATTGCGTAGAATGGCAGCTCCCCTAATGGCTTCAGGGGTCACGTGAACCCATTGCCTATAACGAACCGTATAGAAAATCAAAGCCATGGATTCATACATTATTAAGTCATGTGTGGTGAGCTATAGGATTTCTATTCAATGCACTGAATGCATGTGATACCCGCACTGTATAGTGTAGATTGATGTTAATCTGAGTGCAAGTGGATTAGCCCATATTGTGGTCAAACCGTTCAGACAGTGCAATAAGCCCTCTTTATGATCAAGCTGCAACGAACGGTGCAGTAGCGATGGTGGTGGTGGTGGGAGTATGCACGCATCTGGCTCCAGAGTAACGATCGCCAAGCTCCGCCTGACAGTGATCGAATTCTTTATTAGGAGCGTCGCCAGCTGTCATCACACGAAACACATTTCAAAAGTAACCATCATGTCACCCAAGATGAAAATATTGTGGCTTTGAGGAGCGGATACGTGTCTTCCCCCACCACCCCTACCCCCTTACGATTGTCTGAGTAATCGGTACATCACAGTCAAGGTTAGCTGGAAACGGGGAGCGGACGTAGTTTTTGGAGCACCCCTTGGGGACAGTCGGAAGTTCAAACTTTGCGTTTTGCGGTTTTCGTCTCTGGCCGCTTGTTGAGGACGCGTCTGGCCTTGCCAATTCTGGCAGCCGCATTGCGGGAGCCGCCCAGACGAGCCCCCAGCTCCTTGGTGTGTCGCCTCCCCCGCTTCGTCAAGGTTACTCCATGCGAACTAGCCGCCTCCTGCCAGCTTCCTTGTAATGGGGCTTTAAAAATACGTTGTTTTTTTATTTAAACAGTGGAATGAAAATACACGTGAAAAACTGCTGTGAAGGTGAATTTTGTTGTTTTTTTTTCTCCTGGCTTTATACTGTGTTCGAAAAAAAGTCTTGCTGGGCTGGTGGGAGGCACACGTACAAAGGACGTGCAGGTTGCTCATCATTTACCAAAACTAATGCCCAGTGGGCTACTGCTGAGCATTGTCAACCTGCACCAAGCTTTTAATGGAAACGCATGGGTGACTTCGTTTAAAAAAAATATTTATAAATCTTTGTTCTTTATCTGCCCCCTCATAATGTTTAATTGATAGACCGTCCTTGAATACTGTAGCTGGTTACAATGAGCAGATTGTCAGTATATTTTTCATTTGCTTAATCAGCAAGTTATGCGTGGTGGGGTCAAGTGTGGGCACTCCTACCTTTCCAAGATGCCTGGCCAACAGCGTGGACAGAGTGGGCTAAAACATATTTTACGTTTTTTTTTAATTTAGTCTTCATAAATGTGCAGCAGACCTCAGCAAAAGGGCTTTAGAGCATCATAGTAAAATGTATACAAAATAAACCCCGCACATCTGCAGTTTACCAACGTATCCTCAGACATAAGTAGCATTTCGATTTAAAGCTTTCGTGACTGCAATGATTCATCTTCTTTGGTTCTTTCGGTAAAGTCACGTGACTTTACCGAAAGAACCAAAGAAGATAAGTAGCATTTTCGTTTATTTGGCAATGGGAGAATATCGGTGTTCATGCGCAGTTCTTCAGGCAGAGCCGCTCAAAATCTTGAGGGCCAACGACTGAAAAAGGCTGAGCTCTGAAACGTTCTTGCCCTCTCGGGGGAGGAGCTCTTCAGAACTCTCCCTCTCGTGGTGTGAGGAACAAAGTGTAGAGCTGCATCTTCACCGTTCATTTTTAAAAAATTAGTTGTTACATTGTAGGCGGGGTTAATTCATTATTTGTGATTTTTTTTTGTTTGTTTCCAACGTATTTCTTTTTCGGTTTCAGCTTGCGGTATTTCAATCACGATGTCTGTGTGCCTTCAATAGTAGTAATGTGGTAGTGTGCTGTATAATATGAACTTAAACACTTTGCTACGATAACGTCTGGCAAGTCATTGTCACTTATAGTTGTCGCAGCTACTGTCGTATGTGACGTTTATTATTCAATATCGGTGTTTCCCAGATAGAATGTTTCTGTTTGTGGTTATTCTCCCCTTAATGCCAATGGCTACCCACAAGTGAGGGAGGTTAAAGCGTAGCTTATATCCACGCATTTTAGAAGTTGCATGCAAGATGACATTTTTAAAACATCCACTCGGAAAACAGGGAGGGCATCTTCAAAGCTAAGCTCTCGGAGGCTCTCGCCGTTCCTGTTTCTGCTCTGAAGCTACTTTTGCAGAGTTCATTCTCTAGAATGTAAACTCTAAACCGCGCGATGCTCATTTTTTTGAGCACTCGCCGGCGGTAAGTGTGGTCAGCTGCCGCCGTGTGTTTGATCTGACACGAGGGTGGGAAGAAACTTTTGAGTGGACGGTGAAATGTGTCTCACTTGTGTTTCCTCTGCACGCAGAGCAATCATCCCATTTACTTCTTGGAGAGTGGTCCGCAGGAAACGGGATCCCTAAATCATTCCCAGATTTCCTACAATTCTGCTGAACTGGTAAAGTCAATTCAGAATCGTGACCCACATGTTAAACCCGGGTGTTTTCTTTTCCTCTCCCCCCCCCCCATCCAGAAAGTTCCATTTGCCAATGAAAAGTTCAAAAAAACCCCACAAAGTCTTCAAGATTATCAGGGGAATGCCCACAACAAGATAAATAATTAAAATACTCCCCGGTGTTTTATCACTCTTGTGTTTTATGTCCGTGGCGCATTTTCAGGTTGTACCATGTGTTGGGGTGTTCGTGCTGGGATCTTCTTCAGGAATTGCTGAATAAAGTTTCCCACCGTGTGGACCTAAGTTGAATTCCTGGCCCAGGCTAACATCACTGGCAGGTGATATCTGAATTGGTCCTCGGTACTGCCACCCTTTACCAGCCCACACCAACCAGCATGGTGGGGTTTTGAAAGCTACTCGAATGTGGAGTGAAATGTTGGACAATCTCGCCAAACAATATGCGGGAACAACCCTAAAACGAATTAGGGAGCTGTGCAGCACGACAGCAGACACCTACGCAAATAGTTTAACTCATCTGTCTATTGTCTGTCGTGTTCTAAGTGCAGTATATCGGCGTTTGTTTCCATGGCAGCTCTACCAACATTTCTTGTTTAAATACGTCTGCTCCCTTCGATAGCTGTGGATTATATGCGTGAGTGCGATCCACGGTGCAAACCGCAAAGTGCATATCATTCCTGGCCGCATCACTTGCAGACACCCCGGTATCTGGAGGGGCAGGCGTGGCCCTTGCTGCTCGTTTTCCCAGCCGTTTTATCCCACAGTGGGCACACGAGCCTGGGCGTATACTTCCTGGCAGCTCACACTCACAGGGTCCCCTCACTATAAAGAACCATTCGCTTAATTTCCCAGCTCCTAGCCTAGTTGCTGCCTTGCGTCGTGTAGTCGCTAGCACGGTGGTGCCCTGGGTGTCCAAGATGACCAGTTTGTTTGGAGGAGTGAAGTCCAAGGGTGCAGGTAAGCTTTTGCTTGCAGAGGCCTTCATCCGGCACGCGATACATCAAGGCTGCTGATGATGATGGAAGATCGGCTTCGCCACTTGCTGTTAAATGGAATGAGGACTGCTGTTAAGGGATATAGTAGAATGCTGCATTTTGATAGTTAACATAAAAATAATATAACAACGTGTTCAAACTGGGTGGCTAAGCTTAATAGTTGTCTGAGCCCAAGCAATAGATATGTTTTGAGTGGTGTTAAAAAAACGGTTCCTGTGGAGAGGAATCTACAAAAGTCAACAAGGAATGCTTGGTTGTATGTATGTTGAACTTCTTTCGCCACTGTACATAGCCAGCCGTGCTAACCAGAGGTGCGGGAGATCTACTGGTTGTAATCTACTGTCTTCGATTTGTACTGTAATTGAACAATGACACATTCATAGTGTGTCCTCAACATAATTAAGTGTTAGCTATACATTATTCACATTTCTTATTTTCAGACACTCATTTAATAGATTTAACCTGCGCTTACACAGCACATGGGGAGCGGTGCTGCAGTTGTTCATGCATTGTGTTCTAAGCCTGTCTAGCTACGTTTAATTCCTAGCCATGGCTAACATCAGTGGCCAGTGCCGGGACAGTGGTGATGCACGCCTGTAGTGCAGCAAGGGTTGGTGGATCGCACACAGATGTTATGAAATTTCCCTTCCCCGTAGGTGTCTAGTAGATGCCATACCCACGCTCGCCAAGAGAAGGCAGTACAGGACGTGGACTAATCACCATCTTCTTAGCTCTTTCGGTAAAGTCACGTTGAAGGGAAACAATAAAATAATAAAATATATATAAAACAATAAAAATTCTCACGACGTTTCGAACATAACACAAACGGTCATCAGGTGTGTCGGTTTGCATTTATTTTTAACGGTGTATTTATTTATTTATAAAAACGTCAGCGCCATGCGCAGCGATTTGGCAGTTTATTTAGAAGGACGAGTCCATCTATGTTCTGAAAAGAGGGGGGAGATGAAAAATTAATGTATGCTGTCTGAAAGCCACTGTAAGCGTGAACAATCAATTAAGACCTGAAATGGTTAATCAAATCTTTCCAATGATTGCTAAGCCAGAATCCATCTTCTCGGTTGAAATTGTCTCTGTGCTTGTATATGTGGATAGCCTCATGAACCAATCTCTCATGGTAGCCAGATGGCTTACAAAGAACCTCTGTCTTGGAAAAGTCAATGTCATGTGAGCCTACTGAATTATAACAATGATCTGCCACGGCCGAGGTGTTGGTCCTACCGTGTTTTAGGTCTGCTTTGTGTTCAGGAATGCGGTCCGAGACATGGCGTGTGGTTTCTCCAATGTAACTACTACCACAGAGGCAACTTAGTTTGTAGACACCAGGGTACTGTATGTCCGGAATCACATCTTTTACAGACGGAACCAGATCACGGATTTTATGTAATGTGATCTGGTTCCGTCTGTAAAAGATGTGATTCCGGACATACAGCACCCTGGTGTCTACAAACTAAGTTGCCTCTGTGGTAGCAGTTTCATTGGAGAAACCAAACGACATGTCTCGGACCGCATTCGTGAACACAAAGCAGACCTTAAACACGGTAGGACCAACACCTCGGCCGTGGCAGATCATTGTTTTAATTCAGTAGGCTCACATGACATTGACTTTTCCAAGACAGGTTCTTTGTAAGCCATCTGGCTACCATGAGAGATTGGTTCATGAGGCTATCCACATATACAAGCACAGAGACAATTTCAACCAAGAAGATGGATTCTGGCTTAGCAATCATTGGAAAGATTTGATTAACCATTTCAGGTCTTAATTGATTGTTCACGCTTACAGTGGCTTTCAGACAGCATACATTAATTTTTCGTCTCCCCCCTCCTCTTTTCAGAACATAGATGGACTAGTCCTTCTAAATAAACTGCCAAATCGCTGCGCGTGGCGCTGACGTTTTTTTAAATAAATAAATACACCGTTTAAAATAAATAAATTATTGCGAACCGGCACACCTGATGACGACCGTTTGTGTTATGGTCGAAACGTCGTGAGAATTTTTATTGTTTTATATATATTTTGTTATTTTGTTTCCCTTCAACGTGACTTTATCGAAAGAGCTAAGAATATGAATTACTGCAGTCACGAAAGCTTTAAATCAAAATTTAATCACCATCTGTTTTCATTTGTATAGGGATAGAGTGTTGTCTCCTCGTGTGCGTGGGTTTTCGCTGGGTGCTCTGGTTTCCTCCCCACTCGTATATTAATAAACACAACTCAGCATTAATTGGGTGAAAACGTCTCATTAATGAAAACTCAATGCAGGACCCTCCTGAAAAAAAGTTTTATGACTCGGTGTGGCTTCCATGGATGAAGAAATTAATTATATTATATATGAGATTATTATTATTATTATACAATTCATTATTATAAAATCTTCACTGGTCCTGGGCACAACCCCTTCACCAATTGACAATGACCAGCATGGTGCAGTATGCTTCAAACAAAATAACCCATGACTGAAATGGCATGGGGGGCGGGGAGGAGGTCTTTATTCAGCATTATTTAAATTATTATTCCAGTCGTTATTTAATATAAAATATGTTATCGTAATTGATATCGAATAAGAAGTTTCTAGTCACCTGCTTTGTGGTGGGTGAATGGTTCGTGTTCACCATCCAGCGCTCGCCAGCATGGTAAAGTAATGATCAAATGACCGCTACAACCCAAATGGCATGGGGAGGCCCTCATCCAGCAGTGCATCAATGAAAGAGCTGCACATGTACATGTATGGGTTGGTAGACTAAACGCACCGTTTAGCTATGGTAAACCTGCGGCGTGTACTCCGTACTTTGACGTCGCTTTCTATTTGTGCCCACTGCCCCGTCTCTCTCTCTCCTTGCCCCGCGAGCAGTGAACGAGCTGCAGGAGGAAGGGAAGAATGCCATCAACTCGCCCCTCTCCACCACCTTGCCCGACATCCGCCCGGAGGACACCTTCCTTGGTGCGTAAGTGAATCGTCTGATGTCGAGCCGGCCCAGCTAAATGCCTGCCAGCCCAGTGGCAGGAGCTATGCAGGGTTTAGGCGGCGCAACTGCACCGGACCCCACGAGCAGGTTTGGGCCCAGGCACTGGGCCGCCAAGAGGGTGGGAGGGGTGGGGGGAATTGTACAGGCGCCCCATGTCAGTGTGGAAGAGTAGGCAAAATAGCCTCTGGAGGGGTCCCTCTAGAGCTCTGTCTCGTGAAGAGCCTCCAGCAGTGTCGTAATTAAGGAATTGCAGGGCTGCCTCTTTACTGTTTTAACGTTTATGAGGGCCCATGCCAACCACACTAGGCAACTTGTGCGGGGTCATACCTCCAGCCATCTCCTGGGGCACAGAAACGTATGTGTGTTGTCCCCTTTATATAATTGTTGTTTTTTTTTCCGGGTAATCCGGTTTCCTCCCACGCACGAAAATGTTCAAAACATTGCTGAAAAATCTCCAACAGGATCCTTCTGACAAATGGTTTGTGCAGACTCAGGCTTTTAATTGTTATATGAGCAGATGTCTATCGTGATTCATAACTTGTCTCTTTTTTGTTAGATCGTGTTGATATGATTATACATTTTTATATAATTTTACACCACCCGAAAGGGCCACTGATCACGTGAGCAAAAATGACAATTTATTTAATTTATTAGCAAAATTGGAATGTTCAAAACGAAGCAAACTGATCCTGTTTTGTGGTGTTGTCATTGGAAAAAAAACGTCCTTTTAGATCTCTTGCAAAGCAGTGCAACTAGTCATGTTATAAAACGACCCACGGAAGCAGATATCACCATGCTACCTCTGAGATCCCTTCAGTTTGCCACTTGTACTTCGAGTCGAGGCCAGCACTTTCCCACACGATTTGCATATGAAAGTAATGTTCATCACATTCGAGGATTTTTTTATCATCAGAGCTGGAACTTACAAAAAAATTAAATGCGGAACAAGGTTTAATGGCATTGCTTTTTTGGTCATTGTGATGAGACCATCAAGTCACTGCACTTGAAAACCTGGTGTCAGTCAAGCAAATCTTCGATTTGAACTGAAAATCTCACCATTTCTGGCAGATTGGTCTGACCTCTGAACCACCTGACCTCATCAAGAATGTATAGTTGATCTCTTGATACTTTGAAGACTTTTCTAAAGTATCAAGAGGAACTGCAAATCAAAGTACACATTTAACCAAAAATGAAAGTATTTTAACCATAAATGTATTTGCTTTTATGTTTGATATACTAAAACTGTCCTGTTTAATATTAAGTACCGGTGGATTTAGAAACATTACTAGACCATATTCTGTGTAATTGATGACCTATTTTGTCTCTGACCAGTATTTCATTCACACCCACCTGACTTCTTTGGCTCGTGTGGGAGAGAGAAATACCCTCAGCCTTGATCTGGGAACTACCTGTGTGTGAATGGCCTTCTCTTGAGTTATCCCTCCATACGTTCTGGATGGCAGAGTCCTCACAACCGGCAGCACCCGTGCTCACCAAAGAGGGCTATGGAACATTCCATTTGCTGGAGTGGTTTATTTAACGAGTCAAAGTCCTCTCTGGGGTGCAAAGCTTACAACGCAAGCTATGCAGCCTGAGTGCAAATGACTGCCGACTGCTATTGCTGCTGTACACGAGAGGAGTAAACATTAACCCCCTACGCCTCCCCTCCCCCTGGGGCGTTATGATGAATTGCTGAGAATTATGATAGCGATTCAATTACATAATTTATTCTTAACATTGCGGTACATGGCAACACCTGTGGTGGCTGTAAGGGTCGGATAAACCCATAAAAGCATGCAATATAAATGAATATTAATAAAAACCATGGCTTATTTATGCGATTCAATGCACATATCGGGACCTTAGTAATTATATTCATCGATTGATGGTTACAATGCCCCTATGTAAAACTATAAACTAAACTCATTTTATTTGACCAGGTTAGGCCCACTGAGCTACATAGCTCTTTTTCAGAAGCAACCTGGCCACAAATGATAGCTCAAGAAAGTGGCTTATGTGGAAATCTATAGCAGCCAAATACTCAACGCATGTTCTTAATGTGGAGGGAAAAACCCGAGGACCCGAAGAAAAACCCACACGAACATGGGGAGAACATGCACACTCCAAATATGCAGATGTCAGGGTCGGGATCAAACCCATGGCCTCCTGTATACCAGGCGAGGTAGTTAACGTCTCACTGCTGTTGCGCCCTATGTATGTATGTTGAACTTTTTTCCGCGCCGTACGTTGCCAATCGCGCTAATCGGAGGTGCAGGGGAAGGACAACAAACTAAACACAAAAAGCAGTTCTAAAGAAATTAGTTGTAAACCTACATTTGTTTCAAGTACACAGCTCCGGTGGCTCCCTAATATCGGAAGGGAGAGTGAATACTGTACATTGATTTTTAACCGCAGTGAGTGCGGATTAGCCCGCATTTGGGATAAGCCATTCGCACGCACGTTGATTTCCGCGCTCAAGATCTGATGCGCACGTGGCCGTGCACGCGTGGCCCCGGTCATGCTGTTGAAGCGCCGCTGTCTTTCTCGCTCAGAGGAGAACGAGGAGCGCACCATGATCGACGCGCAGTCCAAGAGAGACCCGAAACTGCAGGAGCTGATTAAGGTCTGTAGAAGCATCAGTTTGTGTACTGTGTTGTAATGACGATAATTTTATATGGAACTCACTGCCTTGCGTTTCATTTATGGCAACTATCATTATACGGGTACATTATTTTTGTTTACATTTTTAACTGCTTTTTTGTGCAGTAATGCATTGGTTAGTGCACTGCATTATGAACCTAGTCACCCCAGTTTAATTCCTGGCCATGGCTGACAACATTGGTGAGGGATATTTTAACCCATCCTGGGCATCCACTTCACCAACCTGCACTGACCAGTTTTGTGAAGTATGGTTAAACAACCCCCATGATGGATGTGACATGGAAAAGCCCTCACCCAGCGGCGCATTGACAAGGGATAAAATTATGTGTTCGCACACACACATGCACTCACACATCAAATGACTCAATCGTGTGTGGAACGCTAGACTCTCACCGTGAACATTCTTTGGGTTTAATGCAATTGCCAGTGGCTTAGAGTTAATGGCAGCTTTAGAATTCTCATGGTTCAGTGTTACTGCCCAAGGTTCACAGAGTGAGACGAAGGCACCTTTATGATACTTAGAATAAACTTCATAACAAGTGTTAAGTTGTACACGTTGTGTAAAGAAAAATACAAGCATAGTATAGCACTGCTGCCATTTAACAAAATTAAATAAACATTCTAAACAGTATATTAATTAAAAATGTTGTATTTGGTTATTGACGGTCTAAAGCACAGACAGGCCTTTGTACATCAAATTCCTAACATAGGTTTGGCACTATTGATGCCTGCAAGCTAACGCCATGGTGGCCACGTGTCTAGATTGTATGAAATATGAATGCGAGTGACATTACGTGTTTGCCCGTGTGTCTCAGGTGTTGATAGACTGGATCAATGACGTGCTTGCAGAAGACAGGATAATCGTCAAGAGCCTCGAGGATGATCTTTTTGATGGGCAGGTTCTTCAGAAGCTCCTGGGTAAGTTGTCGTTACTACTGCGTGGGGTTTCACGTCTTTGGGTCGTGCCGCGTGTTGTTCGTTTGGCATTTCACATGAAAGACCCAAGTTGCAGAAGATCCCTGTTTGATTTTCCACGAATCTCATGGTCCACCCTAAACCGCTTTCACTCCACAAATCATGCCAAATGTGGATACATGATGCACAATTTTAAAATGAAAAACTCTCCAGTAGTTTGCGACTGGTGGTCATCCAGAACAGAGACTGTACAACGTATGACAACGCAATGCCCGATCCACAATTATGAAGGCGACAGGGCGATCCACTCCACTGCTCCTGACAGTTATCTGGCTTGACCAGCTGAATGTGAAATTGTCGTTGTTCCTCTGCATCTACATCAGCCGTACGAAAGAAGTAGATGGCATGTCACGCCATGTGCTGGGAGCTTCTTGTAGAATTGGCGTTTCAGTTTAATATTCAATGGTCACATCGGTGAGCTACACAAAATCATTATCTTCTTACCAGCAGAACCCTGCAATGCAACGTTTCCCTGCTGTCCCGGTGGCAGTATTCGGTATTTAAAATGCTTAATGGATACCGCGAGTATGCATTGGATTCGGATAAACTTGGCCTGCTGCTGCCGCTTATTGACTGCAAGAGCCAAAAGCCGTCATTAACTTTGGACGATTTCCCCTTTTTCTTTCTATTAAAGTGCAAAGCTGAAACAGATGTTGTATCGCCCCAATAAAATCCCATGTGGTTCTGTTATTTTTGCGTGACCAATTGGCAAAATAAACAGTGGGGGTGGGGGAGGGGTATAGTGCTCACATGGGGCCTCTGGCGAGATGTTATTACCTCGCCTGGTATACAGGACGCTTTTTTCAATTTTCTTGCCGTGGTTTTCACACCTGATGATGATTGCTTGTGTTGCAGTCGGAAACGTCGTGAGAATTTTATTGTTTTATATTTTTATTGTTTCCCTTCTACGTGACTTTACCGAAAGAACCAAGAATATGAATAGGACATCATGGGTTCGATCCCAACCCTGACACCTGTTGTATATTTGGAGTTTGCATGTCTCCGTGGTCGCGTGGATTTTTGTCCGGTTCCTCCCGTTTATCCCTCCACATTTGGAAACCTGTGTTTTGTGTATTTGGCTGCTGTAAATTTCCACGTGATAAGCCACTTCGTTGAGTTATCATTTGTGGCCAGGTCGCGTCTGAAAAAAGCTGTATAGCTCAGTGGGCCTTATCTGGTCAAGTTTCGTTTATAGTTCACCATAGGGGCATAGTAACTACGCATCCATGAATATAATTACTAAGGTCGCAATACGTGCATTGAATCACGTAAATAATTCGTAGTTTTTATTCGTACACATTTATATTGCATGCTAGTATGTATGGGTTCATCCGACCCTTAACATTCACCACAGGCGGTAAGACTTGGTGGTAAACCGCACTTTAGCGAACTTGTCCACTAGATGGCAGTGAACTTCTGCTGAAGATCACAAAGCAAAGGCACCTTCAAAGCTTTCCTTGACTTGAATAATCAATTGTAATGGTAAGCGTTTTTCTGAGTCGCGATAATAATGTTTCAGTCGTTATTTGTAATGTGGGTGAGAATGGTTTACAAACAAAAGCCCAAAATTAAATTTTCAAGGGAGATGGAGCATTGGCACAGTGGATCGCACACTGCACCCTGAACCCAGGTGAATCTGAGTTTGATTCCCAGCCACAGCGAACATCCATGGCAGGTGATATCCGAACCAATCCTGGCCAACCTCCCCACCTCCCATCCAACCTCCTCCTCCCCCCCCCCCCCAACAACCACTTCGCAAACCCGCAATGACCAGCGCGGTGAAGTAAAGTCAAATAACCCCTCACAACCCACACGGTATATTTCACACTGCAACCTTAATCAGTTAACCGCAGGTGGGGCGGGGGGGGGGGCAGCAAAAGCACGTGAGACGACTCGCCTCATTTTCTCAGTTGGGTCCCGTGGCAGCAACGGTTGAGTCGCCATCTCTGGCACAGAGAATCCGTCCACGGGGGGAGAGGAACGCCGGTAACCCGGTGCTGCCCGCGCCTGTGCAGAGAAACTGTGGAAGCAGAAGCTGAACGTGGCCGAGGTGACGCAGTCAGAGGTGGCGCAGAAGCACAAGCTGCAGACGGTGCTGGAGGCCGTGAGCACCGTGCTGCGGCCGCGCAACTGGAACATCAAGTGGAACGTGGAGCGTGAGTTCACCGTCGGATGCCGCGGGCCAATGCGCTAGGACTACTGCGCGGTCGCGTGAGACCGGGACTTTCTCGCTGGTGGTTAAGCCGTCACAGAAGGGCAGGTGGAAAATGCGTGGTCGTTTTTTTTGTTTGTTTGTTAATGTAATCGTTGAGTTTTTTGTTGGTTGGTTTAAAGTTGGGTATTTTTGGCTGTCATCTTCAGCCGTAGTCTGTCCACTGCTGCGTGAAGGCCTCCCCATGGTCCTATGATATATCAATCCACCCAGCACTTGCACACAAGGCAGTTGTAGCTCACATGCATATGTTAGGTGGCGTGATCCCGCCTTTGGTTACTACATCATTAGTCTTGACCACAAGCCATCATCCCTTCCAGCGGCATCCTGCCCGATCAGTACGATGTATTTAAATTCAGTATATTCTCTAATCCATGTGTTCCTCTTCATCGCTGTCAGTCTAATGCCAAGCAGGCATCTCTCCATGCTTCTTTGTGCACTTTTCAGCGCCTTTTTATTTGTTGGCTATGCCAGCTGTATAAGTGGCCTCTCTGGAAAGCGATGTTGCAGTGTAAGAATAGGTTTTACCCTTTTTTCTGGCAACAAAACAGGTGTTAATATGTTTAAACACCAAACTGAAACCTTTTGCAAGGAATTATTGTCTGCATTAACCACAGATGCTTGTGAAAATACAAACAAAAAGCATGCTCTGACAGTATATGAATTTTCTTTGAAACTGATTGGTCCACACCAGAGACAGCTTTCTTTAGAGCCTCGTCTCTAACGGTGTTAGACCAGAGGACGCCAAAAGGCGTACACAGCACAAAGACAATGCCACTATCAGAGTAATGAGAGCTCGGGGTAAGCAGCTACGTTATGGGAACTCCTTTGCCAGTGTCAAAATATAAGAATAGGTTTTCCCCTTTTTTCTGGCAACAAAACAGTTGTTGAGACATGATTCCTTGCAAAAGGTTTCAGTTTGATGTTTTAACATCTTCACACCTGTTTTGTTGCCAGAAAAAAAGGGAAAACCTATTCTTATATTTTGACACTGGCAAAGGAGGTCCCATGATAATGTTGCAGTGTGTTTTTTAGACGTTTGCTTTACAGCAGATGGCATGCTTATAATTCACGTATAATTCACCAGGCATTTGCCAGGACTTGAATCATCGACTTGATGCACACAGACTTAGTGGCAAAACGAATTTGACCACTTTGCTGACCTGGCCACTACTATTTGTGACCACGTTGATATGTCTCTCTGTGCTGCAGTGATTCATTCCAAAAACCTGGTGGGCATCCTTCACCTGCTGGTGGCACTCGCCATACAATTCCATGCACCAATCCGCCTGCCAGAGAACGTGTCTGTCCAGGTCATCGTTGTACAGGTAAGAACTCTGTTTTGCTGTAGTAGGTGTAATATTATGATTGTCCTGAGGATGAAACCCAAAGGATTAAAAAAGTCATCTTTTGTGAGCAAATACACATGCTTGCTTGCACAGGTCCTCCAGACAATGACTACTGGAACAGTGGAAAGTATTTCAGGTCTGCATCATAAGGTTAAAATGCCAAAACTACAACTTGGATTTATGAGTTTGTTAGGCTGGATAGATATTTTTTTCGTTGGTTTATGTAATTGTTTTATGTTTGTGAAGTAGGGTGACATGTTTAATTTACAACCAATGTTGCAGTCGTTTTTGAGAGGGCTATTTCTTTGGATGGTACGTCGCACTTTTTGAGAATGGCAGAGTCTGATGAGAGTCGAAATGCAGATCCTGTGAGACAACGGGGAGATTATGAAGTATGTGGAGGCTACATCTTCCCATGCACGCCTTTGTGAAATTATAATGACAGCTTTACGCTTTGTGGGAGTAGCGCATTAGCGGCGGACTTTGACAGAGCGCTGTGTTTTAAGTGGCACCGCGTTAATTTATGCTGCAGCTACCATGGAATATTTATTAATTTAATGAAATAGTCCTAGACCTCTGGTTTATTTGCTTGCATTGCCACTCTTGACTCAAGTTAAAATTATGTTGGGCATCAGGGTTCCTGTTTCTTGAGCCCTAAGCTAAGAAACTTGCTTACCAAGTCAATTGTGTGGCCCGGAATCATGACTATTATTTACATTTCATTAATTACATAGCTTGATGCGTTTTTTAATGTTTCGAGATCTATTTTTCTCTTGGTAGGGTTTATTTGGTTTTCATAAGGCACTGTGGAATGGCTCATTTGAAAAGGTTGTGTATAAGCTTTTATAGCAAAAAACAAACCTGCATTTCTGTGAAAATTAACAAGGTTGCCACAGTAAAAAATAAATAAATCGAGAATTATTCATCTGCATGGCCATATAAAGAGTTGATCAACATTTATTTCATTAGGATGTACTCTGCAGTGTAATTGGATGTTGCACTGTTTTGGAATCATGGTCGTGCTGAATTTCAAATACAATTGAAATAGCAGTTTTTAGTTTTGTTATTAAATACATGTTTAGATTGTACCAATACATTTTCACATTCTTCTATTTCATCCCATGATTTAATTCTCAAATTTGCATTGCTTTTCTTTTCACTTGGGAATCGTTGTTGAAATGCATATTAATGTTATTTTAATTATTTTTATTAGTGATTTTTTTGCATTTTTATGGTGTATTTAATTTGACCCAGATCGGCCTCAAACAAATGAGTACTGGTCTAATTTTGTAGGCTATTAGTAAACGTCTCTTTACTTTCACAGAAGAGGGACGGTTGCCTGGCTTCCCACAGAGTAACAGAGGAGATCACGAGTACCACCGAGTGAGTGAGCGCACGTCACAACACGCGCAGTGCGATTTAGATTCATATATAGAGTCTCCACATGCAGCAGCATATTCAGATGCTGCGCAAGCAGTGGGACTTGGGAATCCTGGGAAAAATTGGGCATGATATATTCACCCATGAGTCTCCATCGACAACATCTGGGAATGAAACAAACTAAACTATTTTTTTTATTTTTCCAGGTAAGGCACATTGAGCTATCAAGCTCTTTTTCAGAAGCGACCTGCCCACAAATGATAGCCCAACGAGAAGTGGCTTATCACGTGGAAATGTATAGCAGCCAAATACTTGAAATGCATGTTTCTAAATGTGGAGGGAAAAACCTGGAGGTCCCGGACAAAAATCTGCATGACCACGGGGAGAACATGCAGACTCTAAATATACAGACGCCAGGGTCTGGATCGAACACACGGTCTCCTGTATACCAGGCGACGAAGTTAGCATCTTCGCACCGTGGCTTGATATTTATTTTATAGAGCGAAAGAGACGGTGGTAGACACGGGAAAAGTAGTCTTGAGGCTGGACTAGAATATGGGCAGGGAGCCTACAGCACGGATGTCTGGAGGAAGGGAGTTCCACACTGTGCAGGCAGCAGGAAAGATTGCACTGAGCGAAGGTTGACTGGGGGCTTTTTGGCAGGAAGCCCTGGCAGGCTGAAGCGGGAAAGTTAATGGAAGTGAGTAGCGCCAGATGAAAATGCAGTAATTGTGAATTTCTATGATCCTTAAACGTTTTCTTCCCAACAGAGACATGACTGGAAAATATGGTGAGTTGTTGAATATTATTTTTTATGCATGTGCATTCACCTCCCTGTCGTTATTCAACAAATTGTTATAATTTGATTCAAGTAGCAAATGTTTATTTAAAATTTATGTCGTGGTGAATATAGCTCCTCGAGTTGCAGCTGGGGTCATGAGGACTCGTACCACGCAACAAATATGAATCAGAACACGGAGTCGTACACACAGAGCCCAATGCATGCATCATCATTCGCGTAGGAATTAATTATAATCAATGAATCTGCATTGTTACACACCGAGGAACTCATGAAATGTATTTCTGTAATGAACTGGTTAATTATAGCCGTTGCAGGGACAGCGATGTTTGTTTCATATTTCATTTGTCAAAATTCCACGGCAAATATTACACGAGGACAGGGTACAAGCACACGGAGAGAAATAAAATCAACAGCAGTCGACCTCATGCACTTGTCGGACGTTTGGCTTAAATGAAGGAAATGTAGTTGGCTGTGATGACTGACAAGCACGATGGAGCATTTGAGATCAGGTCGGCTCGCGACAGTCACGTGCTGCGCTGCTTGTGGCTTATCAGACTGCGTTCTGAAAGTGCACGACTTTGCACTTTTGTGTATATGTTGAACTTTTTTCGCACCATACATAGGCACCGTGCTAATCGGAGTGTGTGGGGGAAGGACAACAAACTAAACACAAAAAGCATTTTCTAAAGAAATTCGTTTTCAATCTGGATTTGTAAGTGCATCGGTCCAGTGGCTTGCTAATGTCGGAAGGAAGAGCCTTCCAGACGGCCGGAGAAGTCCATTTGAAAGTGCGCGCGCGATGCAGTGACCGTATTTGTTCGAACGCCTTAGTACAGTGGGCGCTCTGTGATGCGTGTGTGGCGTGGGAACCCACAGAGCGCGACGCCTTCGACACGCTCTTCGATCACGCCCCAGAGAAACTCAACGTCGTTAAGAAGGTATCCGGAGGCTGCGTCTCGTCATCCCATTCTTCCCGCTCGCCGATTTTCTTCTGGACAAACTTGCGCTTTGGCAAATTTTTTTTGGCGAGACAGATCAAGGCTTTGGCTGCTTAGGCCTTAGCTGTCAGGATAAAACATGTTTGCTTCTTCCTCCTAAACATCCCTTTCCGGCTCGTACCTTTCTGGTGTGCGGGCCCTGATAACATTAATCCGGCACTGATCAAAGGGGCAGTGCTGTGCTGCGCTGAGGAATGTTATTTTTACTTGTTCAAATTTTTTTTTTTTGCAGTCGCTCATCACATTTGTCAACAAGCAGCTGAACAAGTTGAACCTTGAGGTCACTGACCTGGACTCGCAGGTCAGAGTCGTGTTTTGTGTTTTCTGTTTGCACCTCGGCCACAACGGCGTCATTTCAGACGTTTCTCTCCATGCGCCACGCATCCAAGCCGCTGTAAGGCAAGGTTTGCCTGTGACTCGCTGGAAGTCCATGTAAACTCGACGAAGGGGATTTTTTTGCAAAATACGCGAGGGACATTCTCTGCATTGGGTGTGTGTTTTTTTTCCAATGTTGGGTTTTAACGTACAAGTGTCGAGACTGGGCCATACTTTTTTTCCATTTATTTGACTGCATTTCCCTCATCATCACTGCATGTTATCTCCCAGATGCAGTGTTTACATTTATTCCAGGAAGGATTTACTGACACCCATTTCTCCAAGTCCCATGCACTGTGGATGTCACTGCCATGATGTCACTCACTTGTAGACAATCACTGGGTTTTCATTAAGATGTTAGGAGAATAAAATTATTTACATGCATTTGTTAATCAACTGCTGTAGGGAAGGCTTCCCCAACACCCATACAGTGTAAGCGGGGGTTGTTTGACCATACCTCCCCTTGTTGATGAGTGTGTAGTCGGTTCAAATTTCACTCGGCACTGATGTTTGCCATGGCGGGAATTTAATTCATGTTCATAGCGCAGTGCGGGAACCACTGTTGCAATCCTTGTAAATTGAGTGGCTTTCCATTTACCGAAAGCGAAATGAATTCTGATTAAATGCCCACTAATGCTAGTTAACTGTGATTTATGCTTTGGTTATTATTATAACTGTCTACCTGCCTCATTCACTGCATCCTAAAGGCATTTATCAGAGTAAACATAGAAAGGAGGTATTCATTTTTATGCTGTTCACAAGCAGGATAAATTGTCGTCACATCAATGTTACAATTTTTAATCAAATAAAGCAATACTTTGGGAAGCAGTGATGTAGTGGTTAGTGTTCTGCCCTATGAACCCAATAATGATGGTTTGATTCCATGCCAGAGCTAACATCAGTAGTGACTGATATCTGAAACGTCCCTGGAACCCTCCTTCATCAACCCATGCTGACCAGTGTGGTGAAGTATGGTCAAACAACCACCACGACCGTCATGGCGTTTTGAAGGCATTCAACAAGGAAGTGAATTGACAAAGGGTTTTGGAACGGTACTCATTCTGACGTGAATGTCAATTAGAAACCCAGTAATTGGTGGTCCCACACAAAGCTCGTGAATTAGCGTTACCTGATCACGGTGGAGCAGTGTCAGGGTTGAAGACCAAGGAGAAAAGTGGCAGAGAGACGTGTCAGGCAGTTTGAGCACCGCAAACATTGCTGACCTGTCAGTGTCTTGAATTGTACCTCCCAAAGTAAAACATGAAACTGATACCACGTGTTGTCTCTTTGTGCGGTGACAGTTTGCAGATGGAGTGTACCTCGTGCTGCTTATGGGTTTGCTGGAAGATTACTTTGTGCCGCTGCATAACTTCTACCTTACTCCGGAGGGCTTCGAGCAGAAGGTAATGTGGTGAAAAATAAATTTGAATACTGGAAAGGTGCATACACAGGCTGCATCGACCCAGGAGAGACCCAGGATCAGTTCAGATATCCCTCGCCACGGGTGTTAGCTGTGGCTGGGAATCGAACCCAGGAGGCTGGGTTTGTAGAGCAGTGCGCTATCCACTTCACCACCTCTCCTCCCACATTCATACAAACTTAAAGATTCCCAATATAGCCTGAACAGACTGTTGAGGCAAGTGCTATTAGCAAGCACCTATGGAGGCCGGCATGGCACACGAGGGGGAGGGTGGCCAGCACCCCGGCTGACTGATTTTGTTTCTCGAGTGATGATGTTTACACATTGTACCAGGTACTCATTTTAAGGCGGACTCGACCTAGGAGAGGCCCAGGACTGGGTCAGATAATAGTTACTGCTGTTGGCCACAAAACTACGAAGTTCACACACACTACTTGCTGCTCAAAAACACAACAACATATGCATATTTTATTATTTATTTTATAAACTGGACTTAACAATGTTGATCTTACCAGATATGGCCCACTGAGCTATACCGCTCTTTTTAAGAGGTGTCCTGGCCACAAATGATAGCTCAATGAAGTGGCTTATCACGTGGACATTTATGGCAGCCAAAATACACTAAACGCACCTTTATTCTAAAATGTGAGGGAAAAACCAGAGCAGCCTGAGAAAGATCCACTTGACCACGGGGAGAGAGAGATGCAAACTCCAAATCTACGTGCGTCAGAGTAGGGATGGAACCCACGAGTTCCTGGATAGCAGGCGAGGTAGATAGCATCTCGTCACCAGATGTCGAAAAATCCATATCCCAGTCTTGATTGCCAACGTAAGAAAACACGAACGGGGTGGAGAGTTTAGTTTCTGCCGAGCGCCGGTTTCTCTGCCGGCGGCACGATTGGAAGTGACCGTGCCATGTTGTTCCAGGTGCACAACGTGTCGTTTGCGTTCGAGCTGATGCAGGACGCGGGACTAAACAAGCCCAAAGCGCGTCCCGAAGGTCAGGCTCGCCTCGCCACTGGACCACTACGCTTTCACGAACGCTGCGATGTGGTTACCGCATCGTCAAATGTTTAGTTTGTTGCCCTTCCCCGCACCTCCGATTTGCACGGTTGCCTACGTACGGTGCAAAAGAAGTGAATCGTACAGAGATACATCAAGCTTTCCTCTCCGAGATACGGATATTCTTGTAAATGAGTAACATATACAAGTGCAGCCCTCTCATTAGCCCTCAATGCTGGATGAGGTCCTCCCTACGAGGTGTGGGTAGCGGGGGTTATTTGACCATGCTTCCAACGCATTTGTCAGCGAGGGTTTGTGAAGGTGGGGACTGTAGATGTTGGAGCATTAACAGGGCGGAACAATGGAATCTTCTGCAATACCCTCTGCTTACAACGTAGCTCTGCAGCAGCCTATGGAATTTGTGTTTTTCTGCACGGTGGTAACCGATCGAAGTTTATCTTCTGAGATCTAATAAGATCAGGTCCATTCTGAGTAATTTGGCAGAGACCTGATGCACGAACATCCTTGTAACTGAGATATACTAATTGGATGTTCCTGGCACAAATAAATTGTGCCAAATATGACAACACCTTTTGAAGGTTTGGCCTCTTACACTGATCAACACGTGGATGTTCAAGCCCTGGTAAATATTTAGTGAGATGTTAGTGGATTATTACGTGGGTTATTAATTAAGTTTGAGCCACAGTTTAATGTAACACCGATGACAGAATCACTGATGATATACCTAGATCACATCAGATCTCGGAAGCTAAGCAGGTTAGAGCCTGGAAAGTGCTTTGGTGGGTTATCACCATCCATTAAAGGTGTCGTAGGCAGCTGCTGCTGCTGGGCTATGTTGTCAGCAGAGGGCAATATTGAAATTGCTGTTTTTCTCACCGTCCCATTAAAATGCTCTTGATAAGACATTCCTCAACGACAAGGCTACACAGCCACTCCATATCAAAATAGGCATTTAACTGACTTGCTGTTTTTGGACATTTGTGAAAAAGAGCTTCATAGGTCATCGGATTCCTCCAGTCTTGATAAAGATTCTGATTTTGATTTTCAGAACATCACCCTTAATGTTTTTTTTTTCAATATGTTTTTACTTTCAGATGTCGTAAACCTGGACCTGAAATCCACCCTGCGAGTCTTGTACAATCTCTTCACCAAGTACAAGCACATGGAGTGAGATGCCATGCTGCAGTCTGACCGTGGAAGGCTAGAATATGATACGACAGGACCACTGCGATTCGGATCCACTCACCGCTCTCGCAGAACGCAATGGCCGCTTGCTCGAATGCAGGATTCTCAACACATTTGGTGTTTCTATGGATTCGTTGTTGTTGCTGATGTGTATCACTCGGGATGCAATTAATGCATTTTACTACTTGATTATTTGTAGGGGTATTTTTGTTTGTTGTTGTTTGTGTTTACTAATTTAAAATGTGCCACATTCTGTCAGCGCGATCTACAATTTAGCAAATACTGAAAATTAGTTGACCATTAGGGCTCTCATGAGGTATATCAGTATTATTAATATCGTTTAAAATATATCAAGATCATGTTTGGGGTTTTATTCTAGCTTTGTAAGCCCGTGTTGATGAAGCATTCTCATGCCTTGTCATTCAGTGATGTGTGATGGACACATTTTGGCCAGTAATTGCAGAGATCTAACCAATGTCCCAAGCACGTGCTATTTTGTAGCTCCACGCTCTAGATACACATGGTTTTGGTTCGTGTTGTTAAATTGTTCTAAAGACGGTGCCGCATTTGTTGAAAGATTTGTTACATGCAATGAAATTTGGTGAAAATACACAAGATTAGACGTTTTATACAGGCATGACTATGTATACATCTTGACTTAAAGCTTTCGTGACTGCAGGAATTAATATTCTTTGGGTCTTTCGGTAAAGCCACGTAGATAGAAAAATGATAATCAAAATAATGAAAACTAAGTTTTTTTTCTTCTACGTGGCTTTACCGAAAGACCCAAAGGATACTATGCATACAATTTATATGATTGATACCTATATAGTAATTATTTCTAAATAAGGCATGCATTTTCTTATTTTATGAAATCTATGCTGTAAAACATAATTTTAATGTCCCCACAAAATATCCACATTGAAAAATAATCCCCAACTTAACATTTTCCCACATCGAACATTTTTTTTGACTGGTCCCCTGAGAAACAATTGACTGTATTGGAAAAGATTGAATGGTAATTTCACCTTATTTAAACGTCTTCCCTGTATTTCATCGAGTGGCATGCACTTGTTTGATGATTCCCTTTTACTGCAGTTCATGTGCATTCCATTGGGAGACAAATGCCCAGTCATCTCCACTCAGCCAAAGCTGAATGTTCCTCATTTTCTCTGAAGGCTCGTCCACGCTTGCGCAATCAATTGCGCAACCAAATCGCTCTCGAAATCTCCATTTACAGTTAGCGCCACTTTTTTTATCGTTAGCTCCACCTACACCGTGTAAGTGAAATGACCATCTTTGCGCACGTGGTGAAATACGTCACTCAAAAAAATCCGTCTCTACTTGGAGCAACCTGTTGTGCCACTGGCAACTTGCATGTGACCAAGTTGCGCACTGTCGCTCGGCTGTGGATGGGCCTTAAGGCACCTTTTGTCCTGTGCGTCATGCGCTGTGAAGGTTACAGCCAGCACCAGAGTTGCTGTGAGCAGAGGGCCTCTCTCAATATGACTGCTTGCAGTCATGAGACATTTGTTAAGCTAAATCTAAAAAACACTAAATAAGTAAAAATAAGGTTGATTACCGTATAATTTGCGAAATCCGCACGCAATGTACATTTCCGCCGACCGTCCTGACGCGCGGTTGAAGTTGCACACAGTCACCGGCATAAATCAAGAGCCAGTGCAGTGGTGCCACGTGGCATACGTGTGCTCTGTGGGCCATTCTGAAATTGCTATTTACGTCTGTGAAATCCCATTGCTGGCTTTTGATGATATAATGGGATGGGATTTGAGTTGACAAAGAGTTGTGGGAAATGCCTTGGTTGCAGATGCTCAGTGACCGCTGCCAGGTGTCTTCGTTTGGAGACATTGAGTGGAAATTGCCTTCCTTATGGAGCTTGCGTTAAAAATAAAATTGCACCCCGTTGCCTAGATGACGTTTTTAAACGCAATGACAATGTGCCTTTAAAAAAGTACGGGTCGCTGAGCATCCACTGCTGCCCGTTTATCAGGACTTTTGGTGAGATTTTTTTTTAAACGTTTACAGGTTTATCCATGATTGCCATATTTAAGGACGTTGTGCTGCAGGAGTGGCAATAAAAAAAGAACCAGTGTATTTATGCAAACCCCTGCAATATTTCTGTTGGAAAATTATGCACTAAAAATAAACAAGTAATATGCTAAACACTGCTTGGGTGGTAGGGGCTTGTGATTGGTGACCCTGAGGAAGACAACAGTATCAACATCGCGAAGTCATTCCAGTGCAGTATGTGACGTGATATGTGCTTATAGTCTTAACAATAGTAATAAAAGTGACTACTTTGGTGTTTGAGCTGAGGGATTCAGTTTCAATGCTGTTTTTGAAGAAAATTATTTGTGTGTGTGATGGTCCATGTGGAGAGCGGAGACGCTACGAACGCAACGACACGGGTTCGATTCCCGCTCACGGCCAACACCAGTGACGGTTATCGAAACTGGTCCTGAGCCGCCTCCTAGGTTGACTGAGCCTCAAATAAGTACCTGGTACAGTGTGTAAGCATTTCGACTAAGGAGACAGGCGTTTGGGAGTGGTGCTGGCCACCCACCCCCTCGTGTACAGCAGCAGCCTTCATAGATGCTCGCCAACAGCACTTGCCCCAAAAGTCTGTTAAAGGCTATATGGGGGAAAATTGTCTGAAGTTCTATGCAAATGAAAAGTAAAATACAATCATTGATGTAAAAACAATGAGCTCTTTATATTTTCATATCGACCATTGATTAGCCCATTATTCAATGTTTATGATACAAGGCAAAGTTAATACCAAATGTGATGAGGCATGTAAACAATATGGTGCACCACTACTTACACACTTCCTTTATATCTTACTTTAATATATCGGTTTCATCTGCTTTGTCAGCTGTATGTATCTTGTGGGTTCATGGGAGCAAAGACAGCATTTGACCTCGAACATTGTGACCAAAAAGAAAAGCAATTCTTGAGGATACACTGTGCTGATGTCTTCTAAATATTTTGATAACATAAGTCAAAGGCTCGTACGATAACCGTGGGGAAGTGACAGACTCAACGATTACCGGAATACTGGCAGACATTGACAAAAACCAAAGCGAGGTGACTGAACTGGCAGGGATGTGGCCTCGATTCACGGTGTCGTGGCAATCACGCGTGTCGAACGGCCTGTGAGACGCCCTCTCTCGACTAAACAAACCAAGCAACCTAACCGACGGTCCTTTTGTCAGTCGACTGCTGGTTTGGTGTCTCTGGAGGAGGCTCGTGAAGGACGCCGCTCCTGGGCAGGCGGAGGCAGTCGCCCTCCAGCAACAACGGAGGACAGAGGAGCGATGCTCGCAACGACGAGCGGAGCGCCCGGTGGCTAAAACGCAGCAAGTTGGCACAGCAGGGGGCACAGGGTGGTGTATTGGCCAGTCGTCTCAGTCAGGCGACTCATGGCACCTGCTGGGTCTGCCCCGTGACCTGCCAGCGGGCGTTCGACACTTCACGTGGCCTTAACGTGCACATAGCCTGGCACAAGCGCCGTGGTGATGTCACCGCCACTTTGTGGCGAATGGCGGTTGTTGTGTGTGGTTCTCTTCACCGTGCTGGTCAGTGGCCAGGACGGCTTCAGATGTCACCTCGCCGCAGGTGATGGCAATGGGCAAGCTCGGGTTTGCCGGATTCATAGGGCGCCGTGCTCCGCTAGTGTACGTGGTGCCGTCCCACTTGTAATTTATCAATCATTTGGATGTTTGGTTTTCTCGGGTATAAGTGAATAATGACAGGTGACCCATGGATAACCAGATTTCGTTTGATATCGTCGCATGCAACGGAATGGTTGAACACACCTGGTAAACCACGCCCACAGGTACAGGACTTCAATGCAAGCCAGCATTTTCTTAATTAAAAGCCCGATTGCCAATCATTAGTATGTAACCGGTGACCGGAATAACTGTTCCGAAGGTATTGGTATAAATCAAAAAGAAAATCAGTCGGGCAATGATCTGCGTATAAAAACAAACAGAATAAAACAGTCCAATATCAAAAGGAGTAAAATGTGTACACACGACTCAAAATTCATAAGGACTTGATACCACAGACCCGAAGTAGTTGTGATGCTTATTGACGAATGGACTTCCAGCACTGTCTGGTATCATTGGTCTTAGTCGATAAGCAGGCGTCTTCTCTCGCCTGTAGGAGGAGTTGCGCACGATGCATCCTCCGGTGCAGTGCACGTCGATGTTTGGGTCGCCACGGTGTCGAGATGTATTATGGACGATGTTGGTCGCAAAAGCCTAGATTAAAAGCCTCCGTGTTAAACTGAGATGTTAACTACCTCGCCTGGTATGCAGGAGGTCGTGGGTTCGATCTCGACTCTGACGCCTGTTGTATATTTGGAGTTTGCATGTCTCTCTCCCTCTGGTCGTGTGGATTTTTCTCCGGGTCCTCCGGTTTTCCCCTCCACATTTATAAACACACGCGTTTTGAGTATGTGTCTGCTAGAAATATCCACGTGGTAAGCCACTTCGTTGAGCTATCATTTGTGATAGCCGGGTCGTTTCTGAAAAAAATAGCTATACAGTTCAGTGGGCCTTACCTGGTAAAATAAAAAATATATATATTTTTGTTAAATAGTAACGACGCGACTCTGCAGCGACACAGCCACACGTGGCGGCAGCTGTGCAGCTTGACGAACGACCGTCCCCGTCTTGGTGATTACAGTAAATCGCCGCGGGCGGCTGATGGCAGCACAGCAGAGGCGGTGCTGTCAGCGCTCAACTCTGTCGAAGCGTGGGCGCACGATCTTCCACGTGGGCGCACGATCTTCCACGTGGGCGTACGATATTCCACGTGGGCGTTAGCACGGCGCGGCACTCCCATCAGGTGACAGCTGGACAGATCTCTTCACCGCGACGATAGTCCACCGACTCGTAGTTGTAAAGTCACGAATTAGCTCGTGTTCGTTGAGAGTCACGACTTGATAGGCATAGCTCGATGTTCTCGCGGATCTTCGAGTCGTGCCGACCTCCACGTATTCACCGACGAGCCTTTGCACGGTCACTCTTCAACAACGTCCAATCTTTTCATATCTTCTTTACAGCTTGTCCTGGTTCTGCCTCGCCACTGCCTTCCACTCAGTGCCGGATTATCCTCATAGCAAAAAGTAGCTACATATGTAGTAGTAGCTACTACTACACAAGTAGTAGCTACTACTACACAAGTAGTAGCTACTACTACACATGTGTAGTAGTAGCTACTACTACACATGTGTACATATAACATATGTAGTAGCTACGGGACCCGCACTTTCAATGGCCCCGCGCTAAATGCTTTCAAGCTTATCAATTCCGGTTCAGTGATTCTGCACTTGCTCTATCTATCACTATAGTGCTATACTGCCTTCAACGTTTATGAACCACTGGGTATTTAAGGTTCGCGATTTGTCGTAATATCTGTCTGTATAGCAAATGAAAAAATACAATTACTTCACTATGCAAGTAAAAAAAATTGTGCTTTAATATTTGTGTTTAAAAAAAAACATCTAGGGCCCCTTTAGAACATATGCTACAGAACCCGCACCAGCTTAATCCGGCACTGCTTCCACTCACATTGCACGCTCAGTCAGCGGTGTGTGCCTCTCCGTCTCGTGATGATGGGGCCACTTTCCAAGGGCACGAGCGATCGCGCTCGGGCTCACGACGTGAACCACACAGCAGTGCCCCGAGCCACTGCTGTTCTGCTCACAGTTCAGCGGTGGCATGCGCGCATGTATACAATCCGTTCTCCTATAGCGCGTGTTTTCATAAAGCGAATTGTATGCAACGCGATGCGTGTATAGAGGGAACGCGTTTTTTTTAATAACGCGGAGGCCGATTGGATATAACGCGATTGAGTGAACGGAAGAACGTTGTAGGAGTAGGAATACGCGGTTGTGCGGCTGCCTCGGCGTAGCATCACACGAGGCATTGGGGATGCTGCTGGATGCTTCCAGAAGCTACCCACGCGCCTCAGTCTTTGTTCAGCCAGAATACGCATCTCACGTGTTACCGTACATTCTATATTTATTAGAACGCGCTATTTCCAATACGCGGTGTGCTTCAGGAACGCAACTACGGCGTTATAAGAGAACAGACTATTCACATTGTGAATCGTCGAAATGTACAAACACTTTCATTTCGTGTTCGATCTGTCCCATGGGAAAGATCTGCCTCTCTATTTCTCTCGTTTGTTAGGCAATGGAGACCTTACACATTTAATTGGACCTCCACAGCTTGGCCATGAATCTATCCTCCTGATCGCTACAACGAGCACCTGGGAGTCGGGGAAGCATGTGGAACACGAACAGTCAACCTCAAGGCCTTTCTACAAAACTCACGAGTCAAATTAGAATTCTGTCTGTGGTGCCAAGTTCTTTTCAATTAAAATACTAAAAACAAAACGTTTGTAACCGCAGCAACGAATGTATTATTATATTCTCAACTAATCTGTTCAATGGTATACCCACAGCAATGGGGATATTTACATAGGACTTGACCACTTCATTTACGAGTAGTTATTTTTGTAATAACTACTTACATAAAATACCCAGCATTTGGCAATACACAAAATAATATTTTATTTCTACCTACGTGACTTTACCGAAAGAACCAAAGAGTATGGATTCCTGCAGTCACGAAAGCTTCAAATCAAGATTAAACAGTCATGTGTTATATGCTTCTTCCTGTATATAAAACGTTTCTAAGTGGGGTAAAAAAAAATGAAATGCTAATTCAGTAACATGGGCAGGCCGAACTAAACGTATCAGGAGATGAATGTTTGATACCCAAGCCCGAAAGGGATCACTGCTGATGCCAGCTTGCTGACCCTGAGTCTGAGAGAGATACTCTATAGTGTCAATTGATTTCATCATTAGTGTTATACTGTATGGGCAATTACATGACAGCTACAGCCTCAAATAGCACTCACTATCCTTTATGGGCCTGTATCAGCATTTCCATTCATGAAAGCTGGGTCAAGTATAAATATTGTTTTGGTTAAATTCAACACAGGGGATGGTGAATATTACATTTTAAAAAGGTGGCACCCAGTTAATCCCACCTATTACATTCAACCGCTTTGTGCGTTTTTTGAAGTGAAATCTTTTTTTCGGCCGATCGTGTTGTTTTTTTACTTTGTAGTTTGTATGCGCTTGTTGTGTGTTGAGGTCATGCAACAGAGGTGAGGGACCGACAGCCAACTGGTCAGACACAGCCCGTGACTTCATTTCATGCAGTCCACGACCACACGAGGCCTGACTACTGTGGAACAGTCTACAAACTATATTGATCTGTCACTACAAGCAACAAAACTGTACTAATCTCCTACGAGAGAACCATATTATTGATTTGTTCGACACCGTGTTTCTAATGTTTAGCTTGCTTCTTTCACTGCATTTTATTCGCACTACTTGGGTACTAGAGGGGACGATTTTACGCCTGACAGCACTGTTTCTGACACTTCTGTCACCGCAAGGGGCCTCTTCCATTGACAGCAGTGAACCGAGGTGTGCGTCAATAACACTGCCCCCGTCAGATGTATTTAAAAGTTCCATTCGGCTCTCGGTTAAGGAAAAAAGGTTCTCCCCCCTCGGTAATGCTCCAAACACTCAACGCGACTCAAGTGAACCAAATTCACGAGCTGCCGCCTGCGAGCCGGACGCGTGAACGCGCGTGCCGTGCCTCGTGAAGCTGCGGTGAGCTCTGGTTCGGCAGATAGCGCCGCGATTAAGGGGAAACTCGTGGCCCAAAACTTCCCGTCTGCTGCCGTGCGAGCGCGCGGGTGTCCCCGCCCGGGCACTGTCGTCACGGCGCAGATGACACATTCAGGCTACGGTCGCTCTTTCTGCAGCAAAGCGAATAACATAAACTTGTTCGCCGTCGCAACCCTTCGGTGTAATAAGAGGTAAGCGTTATTTTTCGCACGGAGCTATGTCAGGCTTATGCATTGTCGAGGGAATATGGACGTAGCAATCGACGAATGCCGGATTACTGAGAACAGGCAGGGATAATCGATGTCGAACAGTGAGACTCGGGGAGGGAAAGGAAATGTTGCACTGTGTGATACCGATGCTTGAGACGGAATTCTACCCGTGGGTGTGGCATTAGCATGTTTCGTAAAGTGAGTGCCAGAAATTTCGATTTAAAGCTTTCGTGGCTGCAGGGATTAATATTCTTGGTTCTTTCGGTAAAGTCACGTAGAAGGGAAATAATGAAATAATAAAAATGCAACAATATTTGTATTATTGTATTATTTCCCTTCTACGTGACTTTACCGAAAGAAACAAAAATATGAGTGCCAGCAATCAGCCGTGTTTCACAAGGTGTGAAATGTGGCACCTGTGCTGTATTTTATGAGCATCCAAGTGTTTGGTCGACCACATCAAGAGTTGAATTAATATTTGCTCAGATCCAGAAACACACATTTTTTTTAATACCGCCTTGAGAGGGCCCTACATAGAGCACTTGAGAGAAGATGTCAATTATGTTGATAAGATACAAATAAGATGCAATTAGGACTGTGGAGATGCCACCGGTGCAGAGCAGAATAAGTAGAGGGACACTGAGGGTAAGATGGAGAGGAATGTGGTAGAAAGAGATGCAGGGATGCGACCGGAGAAGAGACAGAGACTAGAGGCACATGGAGAGAGAAACTGATCAGCCAACCCCATGAAGTCATGGGACCTTTGGCTTCGGAAAGGAACATGTAAATGCTAGTGCTTTCTAATGAATGCTGTGTGAATGCTCAGAGACCATGGCCACGAGTTTGAACGTGTCGGATCTCATGAAAGATCTACAACTTGATGAAGACTGCGATCTGGGTATGAAGATAAATGGGGTCAGATTCAAGTCTTGACAAATGTTTATTTCCATCGGATTTGTAGCAAGAATGTACCAATGTGTCCGTTACCAATATTTAGACAAATTGCAACGGCAATGGATGTGTTTTGGGCTTTTTACGTGACCCATATAGTTCATGTGCACTCCACAGCTCCAACTTCTTTTAACACATGTGTATTTCTAAAGGCACAGGAGCTCTCGAGGTATAGTCTTGTATTCTTCTCAACCCACCACTGTAAATGTACGTGCACAGCTCATTGCCAATTCACTGCTGAATGAGGGCATCCCTACCCAACTTGCGCTGACCAGCGTGAAGGTTGGTCAAACACACTGTCGTATCGGCACGTAAGTTCAAAGCAACAACAGCAGGGCGTGGAAGTCCCCAGGTTTTATGCTTTCCCTCGCTACACTAAAACATAATTTGGAGTTCGCCAAACATCTTAAGCCAGGACCCTGATGAAAAAAAAGGCCGAAGGCTCATTTGAGCATTTATTGGGCAAATTAAAGGCTCGAGTTATGATTGAAACATTTAAAATAAGTTGTCTAAACAAAGACAACACTTTGTTAATACAGTGAACAGGAATATTAAATGTGGTTATTGATGAAGAAAAATTAAACCAGCATTTTGTGGTGCTCTCCCCCCCACCCCGCCACTTCAGACGAAAATGAGACGACACTGGTGATACAGCCCAACGCGTATCGAGATGAACAGTTTCTCCAGCTGTCTGAGGTGCACACTCCAACTCGGCCTGGCGCGATGAGGTGGCCGTTCGGACCGCTGCCTCATTCAAACCAGTTCCCACATTCATCTTCAGGACCCTTTTCGTATTTCCCTTTATCGAAGCTCTTTCCAAACTGCACGTTTCTCTCCCCACTTTACGCTGGCAGCATTTGAAAGTTTGTTCATATAGTTGTGTATTTTTTCATCACATCTAATTTAGAGTTAAAATACAAGCCGCTCGTGTAAAATGTTTGATGACATCAAATTGAGTTGCCATAATTGCACTTGTCCTTCGTGATTGTGGTGTGCCCTGGTTTTGGGTTTATGTCCACAAAACGGTCAATTCGCTCACAAAACCATTCCCGCTCTCCGTTTTGTGAACAGTGCAGTTTGGGAGCATTAGCTGACCGCAAGTGTAACTCCCAGGTGGCATGAAACATTTAAAATAATCACATTGTAGGCGGCCAGGTGCCTCAGAGGTCGGGATACTTAGCTGGCATTGCTGAGATCCTGGGTTGGAATCCAGGCAGGCACCTGTGATTAAACCGGCTTCTCAAGCATACGAAGTTTATGGCCTCTGCTAGGTCTCCAATAATATAATTGCATACACATTTTGGTTTTGCACTTAATTTGGTTAAATTCCAGCTCTGAGAGATAACAAAAAATATCGACTTTACTGTCATGTGACGAACATTACTCTCTGAGGCAGAGCCGGTGGGGTTATGTGTTGACCAGAGTTTACGTGAAGGGATCCCTTCGGTAGTTCTGTGGTATCTGCTACTCTCAAGCAAATAGCTGCATTACTTTGCAAAAGGTCCGAATTGATACTTCACCCCTTGACATAATGCTTGGATAAAATTGTAGGAAAATATGTTTAAAAACATTTTTTTTAAAAGTTCCGAACCATGAAGGTATGGGCATCCATGTAATGGGCAAGGAATTTGGAATTTAAGCGCCGTCACAATATTAGACTAAAATCCGCGTGTTTCAGAACAACAGGGGTAGGCAGCCTAACGTCCAGGGCCATTGCTCTTGTCAGACCTGGTGAGGGATAAGCAACCTCTGGTGGGTCTTGTGTGTGTGTGTGCTGTTTAATGTACAGCGCTGCTGTGGATTACATTAGGAAAGTTCAGTGTTATGGCTGGTAGATTAGCTGCTGGTTCCAGGCTCCGTGGAGGCGAGATGAGTGATAGTGCCTGTGTCACTCGCCAGACCACCGGCAGACATTTCAACCACAAGGACCACACCAAATCCCAGAGAAGGGGAGAATTGGCTGTGGTGAAATGGTGCAGTCCACTGGTCACTTCCTACTTTCTGCTTACAATAAACTGCTTTGTTGCAACGTTTTTTTTAAATTTAATATGTAATTATCGACCTCATTATGGTGCATTACAAGTGGTTACATTTTGAGAAATACGTCACTTTGATTTGGTTTTACAAAAGCTAAATTGTTGTATTTTCTTTCATGTATAAATAACTAATGCCTCTGGGAGATCTTGTTACTTCCGAAGGGCTACCAAAATTTCGAGTTTTTTTTTTTAAAGGGATCAACGTTAATAAAAACAAAAACATTCCGACGTATTTTCTCTGGTAATGTTAGCACCAATTTTAGAGATCCCTCTCCCCACCTGCCTTGGATCTGCCACTGGCTTCATTAACGCAGTGCAAAGTTGCGTACAAAAACTACTCAAACATTTTCTGTTAATAGGCATTGCATGTGTGTGCTACATTTCACTTCCCGAACACAAACCCACAACCGTTACACTGCCATGCCACATGAGTAAAACTCCATGCTCTTAATCATTGTTGTTGTTCCTTTGAGGGTTTAAATGTTTTCCTTTAACATAGTTTTTTGTCCTTTTCTAAAATCATAATTGTGTGTTTAGTCGTGTAGCCTTAATATATTTCTCTCAGGTTTGTCTTGAGATGTTTGTGCTGTTTGAGAGCTTGTGTTTATCCAGTACAGTAGTTGATCTATCGTACCTGATGTTGAGAGATCATGCCTAATGATGATGATGATGATGTTTGATGATGATGTGGTTAATTATGTGGTTGTAAAGACTAGGGTGGTGGTGATACGGTGGTAATCTCAACTCTGTGCCCAGGTAGTCACGCAGCGTGTGTGGTGCTTGTGTGACACACAGGCTTGAACAAATTCATAACGCTCTGTTCCATTTCATACAAAAACAAGATGATAATAACATTACCCGTTTCATAGTTTAGAATTTTTCAACATCACGTTTATATTTAGTACATATACGGTGTACATTTGGCAACAAATAATATTGGTCCTATTTTTCCACACCAACAAAGGTTGTCTCCCCGAGCTCTCATTACTCTGATAGTGGCGTTGTCTTTGTGCTATGTTCGCCTTTTGGCGTCCTCTGGTCTAACACCGTTTGAGACGAGGCTCAAAAGAAAGCTGTCTCTGGTGCGGACCAATCAGTTTCAAAGACAATGCATCATATGATCAGAGTATGTTTTTTGTTTGCATTCTGACCACAAGCACTGTGCTTAATGCAGACATGATTCCTTGTAAAAGGTTTTAGTTTGGTGTTTTAACATCTTAACACCTGTTTTGTTCCCAGAAAAAGGGGAAAACCTATTAACAAAGGTTATCATGTTGGAGTTTTTGCTCTATGAGCGAATTATTCATTTGTTACTCATTATTATATTTAGTGTGTTCCCACATTACATTCCCTTTAGTTAGCAAAACATATATATTCCCCCGGGCAACGACGGGTACTTCCCGCTAGTATTCAATAAAAACTGTAAAAGATTACGCATTAAAATCCTAACCTTTTTTCCAATGAATAATTACAATCTAGTATTCATTCATTATTTTTAGAAAATGACATTAATCACGGTAACGTTGTTTGTAGCTTTCAAGGAGAGTGAAAACCAATCCTGGAGCCCTATTCACCAACCCGCACTGACCTGCACGGTGAAGTATGGTCAAACAACCCCTATGACTGACACAGCATGGGGAGGCCTTCGTCCAGCAGTGGACTGACAAAAGTGAACAACGCTCCCACTCTCTCTTTTTTTCCCCACTCTCTCACGACTGAAGGCAACTTGTAGACTGAGCTATCCAGACACTGTTAGATTAGTGGATATTGGACGATGATGCATGGCAAGAGGGGGTTTGAGTTTGATGCACTTGCTGCCTCAAGGCTCTGTGTCGCTCAGTGGAAGGTCGATAATCCTCTTGTGCTTGCCCCAAAGTCTATCTTCCCACAGCCGTCCGTGCTCTCGACTCCCTGCTCCTGTTCAAATCCGGATCCAATGTCTTCCTTTATTCCTCTTCCTATGTCCGACTGCCTCCTTCTCTATATAAAATACTGTAAACATGCCCACTGTTCATACACAGTGTCTTGAGATGTGGTCACATTTGGATGCCGTGTGAATCTGCATCGCGTCGCATCCGCTGTCTCCTCTGTCACTCGCAGGTTCTGCTGGACTGGGTGAACTGCACTCTGCGAGAGGAGAACGTTAAAGTCCGCTCCGTCAAGGACGACTTCTTCGATGGGCTGGTGCTCCAGCATCTCCTGGGTAAGTGACTAGTCGAGCAGACGGACAGAAATCCACGTGTCTGCATTGAACCTGCCCTACTGGACATCTGCTAGGCCGCACGTCTTGGTCGAGGTGGACGTACCCATGGTGTGACTATGGTTGATAAACCCGATGTCTAGAGAGATAAAGTGTGAGCATGGTTGGCTACGTGCGGTGTGAAAGAAGTTAAACATACGCACATGAAAGTACCCAGTGGAAATCGCACCGTTCACAGCACCACCTCTCGCTCTGCAGAAAAGCTGGGCCGCGTGAAGCTCGCCGTGCCGGAGATTGCGCTCTCCGAGGAAATCCAGACCCACAAACTCAACCTCATCCTGCAGAACCTCGACGAGCAGCTTTGTGCCCAGGATCCAAGCAAAGTCAAGTGGACCGTCAAGTGTGAGTGCAGACACTGGCTCCGCGAGCAGTGATTTTGCCCGATGAGAACGTACATTTGTTTGGCGGGCAGAACATTCCCTTGACTATTCATTAATTTGCGTATTACCAACAGAGCGCCAAATGCAGTGCATAATGTATTTTTGTACGGTGTTATGGAATATCAGCCAGGCTTCATGCCAGCCAGGCTCATTCATCATCATCATCATCACGATCCATAGGCAGATAGCCCGTAGGTGTCTGCTGCACATTTGGTAATTTGTTTCCACTTTCCCTTGTGTTGTGCCACTATGCTCAAGTAGTGCACATATTTCTGGCACCGATCTATTTTGTCGCCAATCCATTCTGTGTTAGGCCTTCCTCTCTATTAGGTTCCTTCCATTTTTCCGAACAACACAGTTTAAATATTCCTGTTGTTGTCCATCCTAAATGCCAGTCATGTGTTTATTACCGTGGATACGTGATGTGTCGAAATCTTCACCCATTCTTTCCCTGCGTATCGCAGCAATATTTTCAGGAGTTAAATGTCGAGGTCTGCCGGCCACGAGAGGTCTTCGGGAGAGCGTTTGTGTAGTTCTTTGCTGTTCCTACTCCATTGCAGGAGCGCAGACAACAGTGGTTTACCACGCGGTCCTTAGTTTGGTTCACATGGTTGCAGTTGCACCTATCCGCACCTGCCTTGCCGAAATGGAAGTTTTTACTCTTAAGTCAGTGATTAATGCACACATTTGTGACGATGCAATGGCTGTTTGCCATGCAGCGATCCACAGCAAGAACACCCTCGCCACGATGCACCTGCTCATTCGCATGGTTCAACATTTCTCCCCCAAAGTCCTCCTGCCCCACGGAGTCTCGGTCAAAGCCTACCTGCTGGAGGTGAGGTCGCATCTCGCTTAGGAACGAATCGATGATTTTCAATTATATTTTCTGCGACAGTTTTTTTTACACGAAGAATAACGCGGAGAGATGTGGACATGGGATACATCCCCAGGGCTCCCAGCGCTGCAGGTTGTTCGACCTCAGTCTAGTCTCGCAAAAGTCCGAGTCCGGTATGAGTAGGTTGTATTGTCTACCCAGTGTTTTATTTGCCATAAACTATAAACTAAACTATATATTTTTTTTATTTTACCAAATAAGGCCCCCTGAGATATATAGCTCTTTTTCAGAACGTCACAAATGATAGCCCAACGAAGTGGCTTATCACGTGTAAATGTATAGCACCCAAATACTCTAAATACTCCAAAATAATGCCACGCTCAGAGGAGAATAGTACCTGCTTGCATTCAATCCTTACACGTAGGCCCGTCCATCTCCCCACGTATTCCTGTGGGTGTGTCTATGTATGTATGGATGTACGTAGATGTGTGTGTGTCTGTCTTTGTGTCAATGCTCGTGTGCCATTGTGTCTATCCACACACATCTATGAGTGACACACCTGGGAAAGATGGTAATTAACATTTTGAACGGAGACCAATATCTCACCAAACTCACCGCGGCTCCAGTCTCCGTTCTTCTGGTTTGATCAATTCCGATTTGCCTATTCCAGGTTATCCAAAATAATATAGTAAGCCGGACACAATCCCGTCAACCGAATGACAGGTATCATTCGCATATATGCACAGGCACAGTGAATTTCGTAGCTAACCTTCATGGGAGCCTGCCACACTGGCAAAATACAAAAATAGTTTCCAGGACCATTTTGCTTAACAGGGTATAATTCAAGCAACTTATGAAAGCTGGATGCGCACTCATCACCTGCTGCAATTTAGTTTAATTTTGCATAAAGAAACGACACGATAATGTAAAAAAAAAATGTAATGAGATCGTCAAGCTCACAATAATCCAACGTTTGTTCTGTGCGGTTCAGAAAGGGAAAAACACACTGAAGGCCGAGCAGGTTATGGAAGAGCTGACTCCAAATCAGTGAGACAACGCACGATCTCACGCACGCACACAAACCAGGGTAGTGGGCCTAGGGATGCCGATTCAACATACAAACATACTGAAGCATTTTAACACGTAGGCTTTCGCGACCAATATCATCCATAACACAGGTTCTTTTTGGTGGGTTACACGATCTAACCCAAAAAAAACCTTTTTGATGGATACGGAGGCATTTCACGGGATAATTTCAGTTTCAGTTTGATTTATTTGGTATAGCCCTGTGAGCTATTCGGCTCTTGAATCGGGTGCAACCGCAACAAACAAAAAAACAAAAACATGAACAAGAAAACATCTTAAAGTGACTATGCGCAAACAGAAAAATCCAGGAGAAAAAAACAGCAAAATCTTCCAGAAAAAGTACAGCGGTGTTCTTCCTCGCAAGGCCCGCGGGGGCCACTGGCGGCCCCTGGTGGCCTTTAGTGCGGCCTCTGACATGCGGCCCCCGTCAATACACAAACAGTGAAAACACCCCGCAGCATCATCGTGCTGTCAAACCCAAATGGTTTCAAATGTGTGGCGGCCCTCGTACTGATGCCTTACCGGCGAAAGTAGCCCCCTCTGAATATTTGTGAAGAACACTGTGGTAAAGAATATCACTCACGATCAGGGGTGAGTGGTGCAACTACCCGAGTGTGCATTGTCTTGAGTGGTGTATGATAATCATGCAACGGAGAAAAACAAAGACGTTGTCCTGGGAAGGCTTACGAGTTTCCCAGGAGAGCTACCTCAAACAGAGGATGATGCTGGGAAATCCAGGAGAGGTGGCGACCCAAGGTGTGTCATAGACCTGACACAGACCAGGAGACAATCATGCTCACGGAATGGACGATGTGTTTGAGAAGAATGGCTGACAAGGAAATGTGCTTATTAATTGTGCTCTGGACATTGGTTAAAGTGATTGTGCATCATGTAATGGTCCTGTAGACGTTCACATACCTGACCTTTTCACGTATGCACCTATAGCTCAGTCCTCATAGATCCAGATATGCGACGTATGACGTGTCATGAATGGAGTTGCTAATTAAATTGTCTCGTTTTGTTCACAAGATTGCAAGTTGAGAGAGGGTGTCAGAGCAGTAAGTCATACATTGACAGTCGTACACAAAGATGAACCGTTGGCATTTATTTATAAAATCCATTATTATCACTCCTTTAAAATTGTTTCGATGAACACAACTTTAATTTCCACAAATATCTTACAGGCGACAATCCCATCGACGTCATTTTCAGAGTCTCGCCGGAAAAAGTGCCTCAGGTTGAACAGGTAAATAAATCCCTTTCAAATGTCATGACAGTTGAATTAAAAAGGGCCTACATTTACACATTTATTTATGCAACATTCGGGGGGTGGAGCGGTGGCACAGTGGTTAGCACTGCGCTGCCCAATGAACCTGGAGATCCTCGGTTCAATTGGCTACGGCTCAGATCTCCCCCCCCCACCACGCCTTCTCAGCCCTCCTCACTCTCCGTTATGATCAAGTTCTGACAGTCCTCGACCTACGAGCGGATTCCGTTCGTAAGTCGAGGACTGCCGGTGTGGTTAAACAACTCTCATGACTGACATGCCGTGCGGAGAGGCCTTCCCAAAGTGTGGTGGATTCGCAAAGGGCTGGATACTCTGAATAATATCTTTCGATCGCCGCGTACACAACTGGGCTTCCGAAAATGCTACTGAACTCAAGGGTTGTCCAGTGGGTGGCGTTACATACCCAAAGCTGCATCTTAAATAAGGCTAGTCGCCAGGCTAGCCATTCCCGTGTCCAAAAATCCCTTCAAAGCCAACCCCATAGCGTCTGGGTGGTGGGCGGTGGGGGGAAGGTGGGTGGGGGGAAGTGGGGAGTGGGAAGGTGGGAGGGGAAGGTGGGAGGGGAAGTGGAAAGGTGGGAGGGGAAGGTGGGAGGGGATGGTGGGTGGGGATGGTGGGAGGGGATGGTGGGTGGGGATGGTGGGAGGGGAAGGTGGGAGGGGATGGTGGGTGGGGGGAAGTGTGGGCACCTGGAGGGAGCCGATCCCCCCCCCCCCCACTGCTGAAAGCTCAGGACACCTTTTACATTCTTATCGTCAAAGTCAAGAGAATGTTGGGTGGTCAGAGATGGACGAAATGCTACATTTTAGTCCGATCGAGCATTGGGCATCAGAGCCGTTGCACCAACACGTCTGGGCGAGAGCTCGATCGAGCAGGGTGGATGATAGACAAAAGGAGATTGTCGTTACTCATTCTGTTTTCGCGTTCAACATTTGCTTCGAGTTTGTTTAACATTGGCTGTGGCGTGCCCACCCCCCAGTTCCATCAGGAGTTTTTGTATTGCCACCCCACTCCACCGCTGAACAAGGAAGGTCATGTTACGCGGTTGATTATGAAAGTTATTTGTTGACATTACAAAAGTATCTGTTGACAGAAGATGTTGAGAACACTTTTAGAAACGTGTTGAAGCTTTGATATATTACGCAGCATCTCTCTCACCATTAAGTCTATTACAACAGAGAACCAGATAAAAGCCAACGAAAAATGTTCAGCAGGGGCGTAGGCCCTACCGTTGCTAAGGTGTGGTTGAGATTTGTCGCGGTCTATTGTATTATGAAAAAATCCAACAGTATTCTGACAGCAACAGAGAGAATTGCATGAAAATGTAAGTCGGTTAACATTTTGATGTAAAGCTTTCGTGACTGCAGGGATTCATATTCTCGGTTCTTTCGGTAAAGTCACGTAGAAGGCAAACAATACAATAATAAAAAATATAAAGCAATAAAATTATCACGACGTTTCGGTTAACATTGCTTTATAAATGGTACAGATTGTAAGTTTTGAAATAGAATGTGATCATGAAATCATATCATTAGCTAATTCGGTATGGGTACCATTCTTTTAGCGCGAGGCTATCGTGAAGGCGCTATGTTTCACAGACAAGTATGGTATTGTCGTAGTTTTACAGTTGGAGGTGATGTCGCTATGTGTGTTTTTTTTTTTCCAATTAGAAAATTTGCGAGCAACTTTTTAAAATTTGTATCGTGACGCTGGCACACATGGCCTGCTCTTCTTCGAATAACGTCGCGGGATCTTTAACGTCCGCTGTGCAAGTAGATGGCACGTATTTGGTCAGTACACCTGGGAAGTATTAACCAGGGCTGCCGCTGAGCTCAAACCTCGAACCTCTGCAAATGAGCAGCAGATGCGCTACCGCTCGCCCATGTCACTGCCCTGTATTCAGCAAAGACTCTTGTAATGAAGTTTGGACACATTTTTATTTGATGAGTTTTTTTTTTTGCAATGGGAGTACCTGGATAAAATCGAGGAATTCAAGGGGATAAAGGTCAAAGATCCACGCAGATGGATTCCATAAATAATGACTGCCACCTTTGTTGATTAAACAGTGGTGGTGATTTTAATTAGTCCTTCTGTGTAAAACACAGTGCGCTTTATGGAAAACAATATCCACTGCACAGAGACGCCAGAGCAGATATTGGGTTTTGGGTCAATTGGTGAACTTTAAAGTTTGTGGACACCACGAGATCTGAACCCTACCCTCCTGCCTCATCAAACATGACCCACACGGGGGTGGCACGAAGCCGAGAGCAGACCAAGCCAAACGTTCAGAGCCCAAGCAGCTGAAAGGGCCCAAAATGAATGCGAACAAAAATACGGTCGAACCAAATATGAGATCAATTCAAAATCCTAATGAACAGAAAAATCTTACTGTATTAACATTTATAAAGCTAATTAATCTTTCTCATCCCTATCTTGTCTACATCTCCCCTTCTGTAATAACAAAAACTCAAACTTAGTTTTTTTGCATACATCTTTCGAATATCATCACTACATCCGTGTCTCATCTGTATCTCTCTTCTTTCATCCAACTCTATCCCTTCTGTCTCGTCGCGAGGCGTTTATAAATCCAAAGCCCCCCCCCCCCTCATCCCATGAATAATCTCTACTTAGGGCCCTCCGAGAGGCCGGAACAACCACTGCAACCTCCCACAGTGAGTCCGATCCCTTGCCTGCGCTGACCAGCTAAGGTGTGTCTTCAGATGCTGCTCGCCTTCGCAAACGGTCACCTAGCCGGGCTGCATCTCGACATCACAGATCTCGTCACTCAGGTGAGATGTCCAGCAGGGGCGAGTGAGCATTTGTATCCAAGGTACGTATGTGCATTGAACTTCTTTTGTACCGTACGTAGCCAACCGCGCTAATCGGAGGTGCGGGGGAAGGCCAACAAACTAAACACAAGAAGCAGTTCTCAAGAAATGAGTTTTCAATATAGATTTAAAAGTGCATCGGTCCAGTGGCTTCCTAATATCAGAAGGAAGAGCCTTCCAGACGGCCGCAGAAGCGCATCTTAAAGCGCACGATGCAGTGACCGTCTATGTTCAGTGGCTCGCCAGAAGCCACTGCGAGGATGACCGGAGTTCACGTGATGGTTTATGCTCCTTCATGTGTTAACCATCAGTGTTCGATGGCGAGGCAGTATGCACGGTCACCCAGAGGCAGTGCCAAAAGGGGCAATACTGTACGCCCCGGGCCTCGCACAAAACAGTGCCGCAGGAGATGCCTCTGGACGGTGAAATAAGGAGGTCCCGCGTAGAATTCTGGTCCCTGTCCTCCAGGAACCTCTGGGTGGGCGCCACGGTGGTGAGATATTAACTCCCACGCCTGGTATGCAAGGAGGTCGTGAGTTCGATCCCGACCCTGATGATGCCCGTATACTTGGAGTTTGCATGTTCTCCCCGTGGTCGCGTGGATTGTTCTCCGGGTTTTCCCCTCCACATTTAGAAACATGCATTTAGAGTTTCGGGCTGCGAGAAGTTAACACGTGATAAGCCACTTCGTTGAACTACCGTTTCTGAAAAAGAGCTGTATAGCTCAGTGGCCTTTACCTGGTCAAATTAAATACAGTTTAGTTTTGTTATTTTTTGTTATTTTCTTTGAACCTATCTACGTGACTACCGATAGACCCAAATAATATAGTTTAGTTTCTAGTTTAGGGGTGCCACTGAGCGTCCTTTTTTTTCAGGAGTCTGTACATATTGTTGGGTGTTATGTTGTAGTGGTGTTTGAGAATTGAATGATACTGTTAAACACCTGTTCTACTGTCACACGTAAACAGCCCTTTTCCAAATCCATTGCAGGATGATGGCATTTCCGTGCCGTGCGGGTTGTAGGGGTTACTTAACCACACATCACACCACTGCTCTGTTGTGATTGGTGAAGACTGGGCAGATGTGACTACAGAACCATAATAGATGGGCACAATGGAAATCTTATTGGTTAAGCATACATATTTTTTTTCCTCTGCCTAGTTAAATTATATTGAAAAATAACAATGTCTTGATTTATTGCACATTGAATTTGAATAATGTATTAGATATCCTTACCTACCATCGTTGCAGGACAGTCATGTAAGAAAACACCGGAGTAAGTTATTCTCAAGTTACTACACAGACATGGAAGAGAAAGATTCCAAATGGTCCTTTGGCAAGTGTGAGGCTTTATATTTATTTTAAGAGTCAGTGGCCGATGTCACTTTTTGACGGGTATTTATTTATGTGATTCTGTGCAAGCGCACGTGTGTGCGGGTGCCTTTGTGTGTCTGGGTCTGTGCACGTATGATTGATTGTCTGTGTGCCTGTATGTATGTACTGTATATATCTGGTTCTGTGCATGTGTGTCTGCCCACCGACCTGCCATCCTTCCACTGCAGGAATGGGCGCCCACCTCAGATCCAATTCAAATCCACAATAGCCTGGTCTTGGCTAGCCGATAAACCTTGCAAGTAAAAACGTCACCATCGTTTGCAGCTGGGGTTGGTATCGTACTCGCCTCCTCCCGATGCCGAGGGGAAATGGGTGAGGTTCAGGACTTTGACTCATGCGGCTGCCATGGCCCAGCACCTGCTTAGGTACTTTGTCATAAATTATAATCCTCCCACCACACCCATCCCTCCTCCACTCTTCACGAGTGATGGGATAGTTGTGGAGAGAATGGAGACGTTTCCATACCAGGGCAGTGTGCTTATGGCCAGCTCCAGTTTGGCAGCGGAGGTCTCACTCAGAATCAGTAGAGCGGCATCATTTTTTCATCAGCTGCATAACGCTGTATGGAAGCTACCTGGCTAATCGTTCCATATGAAACTCTGGGTCTTCTCAGCCACCGTTATACCCGCCCTTCTATATGCTTGCGAAACGTGGAGTTCTTTAAAGGGACATCTGTGCCAGTTTGAAACATTCAGGCTACCCTGCCTATGATCCCTCCTGTGTAGATGTGAAGTTTTCGTGACTGCAGGGATCCATACTCTTTTATTCTTTCGGTAAAGTCACGTACATGTGCTGTGTTGGCCTTCATAGGTGCTCGCCAACAGCAATTGCCCCAACAGTCTGTTAAGGCAATACGGGGGATCTTTGTCTTTATGTCGGCGTATGTCTGTGTGTGTGCATGTATGCATGTGTGTCTGCGTCTTAGTCAGTCAACCCACAGCACCTGGGTTTGTCCCGTGACTTCCTGCAAGCAGGCGTTCGACGCTTCACGTGGCCTTAAAGTGCACCTAGCCTGGCACAAGCGCCCTGGTGATGTCCCCGCCACTTAGTGGCGAATGGCGGTTGTTGTTGTTGTTACGTTGGTGCGACCGTGTCCACGTCAAGTTTGCAGATGGAGTGATGCTGGTGCTGCTGCTTGGCCAGCTGAGCGGGTACTTTGTCCCTCTCCACAGCTACTACCTGAGCCCTGAGTCAAGAGAGCAAAAGGTGACGTTTCTCACTGTGTGGGCCACTCAGAAATTACACAAACAATGTACACATACAGTAAATAATTGTTTTAGCCACATGGTTGGTGATATCTCAGTCGAGTGATTCTTTTGCTTTCAAGAAAGGTTATATGGGTGTCGTTTCCTGGGGCAAAATATCAAATGTTGAAATGTTTATGACATGAAGTCTTTATGTTGGTACTTTATAAGAGGAACGTAATACTTCACATTCGAAAAATTGTCACATTTCGAGGTCACAGCTCCGTAAGGAAAAATCTAATTTTATGCTTTGTTTTTACTCTCTTGTTTGTACATATTTTCTCGTGTGTTACTGTCTTGTACCATCTTATTTGCCCCATTGATTTAAATACAACACTGTGGAAGAGATATGTAGACGACACTTTCGTCATTTGGCCACATGGCCTCCCGGCTTTGAACCTTTTCCTAGACCACATTAATTCCAGACACCCCGCCATCAAATTCACCATGGAAGTGGAGAAAGATGGCAAGCTGCCATTCTTGGATGTTCTGTTTGAGAGGAGACCTGATGGCTCATTGGGACATTCTGTTTACAGGAAACCCACCCACACAGATTCCTACTTGAAACCTGATTCCCACCACCACCCAGCCCAAAATAATTCTCTCATCAAAACTTTATACCACAGGGCTCATTGCATTTCGGACCAACACCACCTGACCAGTGAATTAAAACACGTGCATCTGGCCCTCAAAAGGAATGGATACTCTGACCGCACCATCCGCCAAGCTGTTTCTCCCTCCATACAGAAACAACCACTTGATACTCCGATCAAAACCATCACACTGCCATATATAGCAGGCGTTACTAAAAAGATCTCCAAAATTCTAAACAAACACAAGATCCTGGTCCGGTTCAATACAGTACACAAAATCCCTGACCTGATCCCTTCCGTGAAGGATGTCATTCCTGACTTACAGTACTCCGGAGTTTACAGATTGATTTGCACCTGTGGTGACTGCTATATCGGGGAGACGAAACGACATGTCTCTGACCGAATTCGCGAGCACAAATCAGATTTGAAACACGGCAGAACGAATGCTTCTGCCGTAGCTGATCACTGTTACAACGCTGTGGGTGATCACGATATAATTTTCTCCGATACCAAGGTTCTTTGCAAACCCACGGGTTTTTTTATCAGAGATTTGTTCACGAGGCAATTCAGATTTACAAACACAGACACAATTTCAACCGAGAAGATGGTTTCAAATTAAGCAACCATTGAAAAGATGTTCTAAATCGAACCAAACATTAAACTAATTTTCAATGGTACAGTATATTTTTTCAAGTAGTGGTATCCCAAACTTTCGCAGCTGCTTAAATTCCCTTTTCACACCATCAATATGTAAACTCCCCCTCCCCCCCTCGCCGGTCTGCACATGTTCACCCCCTCTACACCGTTCATCATGCTAAGTCCGCCAATTAAATGCTAATTGTTATGCTAATTCCTTTGTCAAGGCACCTTAATTCCTCTCACACAAGCTTAAAGGTCGCGGTCTGAGCTTGGCTGTGTTCACTCCAGCGCTGTCCTTGAAACAGTCTGGTCCCTTCACCTGATGAAGGCCACTTGTGTTGTGGCCGAAACGTCGTGAATTTTTTATTTTTTCTATTTTTATTTTTTGTTGTTTTATACTTTTACGTGACTTTACCGAATAGAACCAAAGAGTATGAAATAAATAACTAAACATGTCGCAGTGTTTGTTGGTGAAGGTTGAGGAGGGTGACCGGTTCAGAAGTTGTCCGACACTGATTTTAGCAGAGCCATCGCCTGGGATTGAAGGCAAGATTGCTGGGTTCGTAGACTGAGTAGCACAATTAAATAATCATATGACACCATGGCACAACACGCATTGTCGGTCCATCAGTGGCACTGAATTCGAGGCTTTGGCCCTTTTTTGTTGTTTTAAATCAGGACATACGCAGGTTTAATGGCATCATTCGTACTCGTGTGCTTAGCCAGGACACTTCGCTCGAGGAGACAATGGCCGTTTGGGTCAAGAATAATGACGGAGAGGCAGCCAAGGAATGGAACGGGTCGGAGGGTAGACGATCTGAGGAGAATGACCGGTGAATTGACATCGCGCGTGCAGATGCCAGGTGGATTACCACACCATGCTGGCAAATGAGGAGTCTTTCATCTCCCATCAGTGGACAGATAATAACCGATGGTAACGATGAGCTGAAGCACGGTCCCAGAGAATTTGCCCACTTCCCACATCTTTTTTTTGCCGCAGGTGCACAACGTGAAACTGGCACTGGAACTCATGGAAGACGACGGGAACCCAATGTCACCCGTTCAGCCGGAAGGTAACGCAAGCAGGGCCAGACGTTGAAGCACGGGACACACAAACGCTTTGCATTCGGTGACTTGGAGAGCCGAACGCCTTTTCGGAAACCTTTTTTTTTTGCAAAAAAACCTGCTGACGTCTCTGTCACAAACAATTGGGGGCGGACAGGTTGCAACACCGACGTGTTGAGGATATTTGATCAGGACACGACTCTGGGCCTAACATTGTAAAAATGTACCGACTGTGCCTAACATTACAGTGGTGCGGATTTTTATAATACTTTTTCTCAACATTTTTTATATTTAATTTGTTTACCGCCCCTTGTTTCCACTCTCATTGTCTCTTTGCAAAATTTGCTCTCGTCTCAAGTGGGTTATAAACAATGTTCAAGTGTGAATGCACGTGGCCACAGTACAAGGAGGTGGTGACCTCAGCGAGCTGGTAGTTCTTGACATGGCCGCCGAGAACGCTACCGCACGGCTCGGCCATTACACACGTGCTGAGTGAATGAGATGGTTGGTGGTCACCGTTGAGATTTGCGTGAAAGGGCGCGCAAATTCGTTTGGCAACAAGGTGGCCAATACACGGCTGCACAGCAAGTGTGTCTGTAAACCCATCTGTGCAGACATTTGCATGTTATCTTTCTACGGCTACTCCTGATTTCTTCCACGTGATGGAATACTGTCCTTAAAGTGGAATTGGCCAAACATAGTCGAGTCCATTTATATTTGGTTTAACATGTGGTGCCTTTCTGGCACAAATCTGACATGCAAAGCTAAAACATTCCAATGAGTCAGTTTTAAGATTTATACATCACATTGTTGTTATTAATGAGTGTAAAAAAAAGTGCACAGGCATAGATAGTTCAGTTGAGATTGCCTTCGACTATAAAATATCTCACCTTCAGCTACACGTACTCTGGCCAGAGTTTAATTTGAGCTGGATCTGTCCAGGCCATCACACCACGTCCAGTACACCTCCCAAATTGGCTGCAGCTACACATGACGTGGGCACTCCCAGTCTACCAGTGACCAAGAAAATAATTCAGTGAGAAGTTAAGCTCCCGATGGTTGGCGGTCACAGCACTTGCATGGCATTCGAGTCTCCAAGAATGGGCATTTGCCCTAAATTTCCACGTGGGACTCAGGCGAACGGACGGAGGTCTCCACCTCGGATGTGCGTTGGCCGGGGCGACTCGAGTCTTTTCGCCGGGTTGCGCCCACCCCCCTCCCCACGCTGGGAGAGGCCACTCTCTCTCTCTCTCTCCGCTTTCCCACAGCGAGCCGTCACGAGCGAGTCTCTCCCTACAGAGATCGTGGACGTTGATGCCAAAGCCGCCATGAAGATTCTCTACATTCTCTACAACAAGCACAAGGCATCGAGCATCGCTTCTCAACCCCAGTCCTCGTGACTCCTCCCGCAGCCACGGCGCTCTTTCGTGATCACCTAATTAAGTCGCCTACTAGCTGCACGTACCTGATGTTTGGTAATCGCGAAATGTGGTTTAGGAGATTCAGTGGCCGGAGTTACCGGGGCGTCTAAATGCCATCACCCAGACACACCGGTGGAGGATAGGTGCTTGGACCCATCATCTGGTGGTGTGCTTGTGTAGTTGTGTGTGTGCTTGTGTGGAGAGCGGTAGTGTAGCAGTTAGCGTGATGTGCTACGAACTTGGCGACCCGGGTTCCCGCTCACGGCCAATACCAGTGGCGATTGTCTGAACTGGTCCAGGGACCCTCCTAGGTCGACACAGCCTCAAATGAATATCTCATGCAATGTGTGAACTTCGCCACTAGGGAGACAAAGGCGGCCGGGCATGGTGCTGGCCACCCACCCAGGGGTGGCCCGGGCCATATAGGCGAACTAGGCGGTCGCCTAGTTAAATGGGGCGCCAAATTCGAGGGCACCCCCCCCCCCTCCTGTGCCACAGTGCCGGCCTTCATAGGTGCTCACTAACAGCACTTGCCCCAGCAGACTGTTCAGGCTATGTGGGGTGAGGGGCTCTTTGTATTTGTCTGTATACATTCGCGGCTACCATGAAGTATGACGCTGTGGTAACCCCGACACTGTGTGTTGTTGTTGAACGTGTGAATCGTGCGCGGCTATTCAGGGCACAACGCACACATTTGACGCACGACACAGTTTATTGCGCCTTTTACGCGGGACGACACAGCACGTCAAATAACAGATACGACCACTCGATTCCAGTCTACGTGTGTTTTGTTCTCGGTTACAAATCATATAAGCTATTTCTCAATTTTTTTTTTACAACACAAAGCAATATAAGCAGAATATCCCCAAAAAAACGGTACACAACAGTATATATTTACATCACGTAGCCTTCTGACTAATAATAAGAAAACAAATTGCAAATACTACAAACAAATCAGACGAAAATTAATTCTAAAAATATATTTAACAATAAATGCCTTGGGTTTTTTTGGACCAGCCTGGTACAGTCTCATTAGGTTCTGGAATATAATGCATAACATTTACGTCATCTAAGTAACCACAAAACCAGTGTGGTAGTTGACACGGCTTCTATAACAGACGCATACTAAGTGTCAATAGATACACGTAGGAACTGCGCTTTTAAAAAATAAGTGACTTAGTAACAACTAAATTACATGTCAATTATATTAAAAGAGAAACTAAAATGTTTGATGACGCTTAATAAAAAAAAATCAATACTTTTAACGCATGTAGCTTTCCTCCTTGTGTTTGTAGTGCATTTGCAGTAAATCATCGTATTAATATGGTAATGTCGGTTTTCAAATGCTGCTGAATACTATGAATTATATAAACGCATTGCGATCCTTCTAACGTATTACATATTACAGCAATAATGTTTAAAAACAACACGATAAAAAAGTAACACATCGAGAACAATACAACTCAAACAGTGCTCAGATCTAAATCACAATCTCATTTTAATTGACCAATCACACAACATATAGAGGATCTCAGAACTTGGGCAATTGTTGGAGCTGGCTCACTGCCGTGGCTGCTGCTGCCTCCACGTTTTTTCGTGGGTCCCTCATGCCTCTGAGCTCTTCCGGCGCATTACAAACTGAAAGTATTATTATTATTATGATCTAATTTTGTCAATGCTAGAATGGTACAAGATGAGTGTGAGATAATATTTGGGCAAAAAAAAAAACTGATAGTGCATTGATACTAACAAATACAATCCATCAGTATCTTTTGCCATGGTGTATTTTAGGAACAATGCACCGTTATCGTTCAGGGACATTACCTGGATTATTGACGCAACGCTTTGCCAACGTGCACTGAGCAGAGTGGTGAAGTATGGTCAAATAACCCGCGACGACCCACACGGAGTGGGGGAAACCTCATCCAGGAGTGGATCGACACAAATGGCTGTACATGTGCACAACAGATATAAGTTGCAGTCTGATTGCCGCTGGTAAATATGAATGGGTGAGCAAGCAAAAGGTGAACGTTTATGGAAGAACATTTCTTCCTCAACGACGCATGTAATGTATCCTGGTACCATTAACGATGCCCTCATTTGCGATTTTATTTCGGCAGTCACCATTCATCCATTTGTTAAGAGCGGAAATATTCCGGGCACAACGTCAAAATTCCATCCAGTGCGACGAGCCCGTGAAACGCGTGCAATATACACACGGCATATACTGTGACATCTCAAAATAATAATAATATCATCACTCACCAATGCAGTACATTACGGCAGAAAACGATTTAAACGGGCCAAGGATCAGGAGGTTCTTCTGTAAGTGCGACCTCCACATCAAGAACACAGCCATCACCACTTGGTTGGGTGAATCGTTAACCAGAACAGGGCACGCACAAGACCCGTGCATCGCGCGTTCAACTCGATCTGCAGCCTGACCCACGGCTGGATGTACACGGTGGTCAAGGGGTGTGGGGAGAGGCACACGGGACAATCGTCTGGCTCTTTGTGCACTGCAGTGCCACTTATTGTAAAGTACGTGGCTGCTGTTCTGCTTCCCTCGTTTGTACGCAGTTTCAACGCGAGTATTATTCGGGGGGGGGGGGGGGTAATCTGGGTTATTGGACCAACTTGACGATGGTGTGGGGAGAATCGTCATGAGGCATCGGGTCACTCGTGCAATGTAGTTTCGTTTTATACAGCGTTGTGGCATAGATGAACGCTCACCCCGTCCATAAGAAGGGCTCGCATCGGCTGGGTGCATCTACACGTGAACTTTATAAACACACGAGAGCTCATTGAGACAAAGCAAACAAAAACTTTAACACGTGGACAGGCAAAAAATGTAGAAAGTCGGCCTCTATTTAAAGTTGATTTCTAAAAAGCCAGAATTATCTCCAGTGATTTTATTGGAATATTACCGCGTCGTGTTTATAGAAGACAAAGTAATAAACTGGCCGTGTATCCTGATGCGGCAACCGTGAGGTGCATACGGTGTGCAACTCGATACGGTGTGCAACTCGACCCTGGTTTGTACTTGCACGAAGATTGGTAAACACAAGAAAGGTGTTCCGTTGTGGGTCGCGAGGTCGAGAAGCCCTGGTCTAGAGGATCTGCCAGGTTGTGAGGTGGCAACATTTCTCCCACACACTCACGCTTATGTTGTACTCCCACTAATTTTATATTCCAGTTATGCTACGACACCTTGTCATGAGGCTACGTGTTCATTCGAAAAAACTCGCAAAGCAGCGCATCGCCCCGTCCTTGAGAATGTCCTGCAGAAGTAGATATCACAGAACTACTTCTGAACTTTTTTTCCCCACGTACAGAGAAATGTTCATGGTGTGGAAGTCAAACTGATATTCCTAATTAATTTTGTCAAATTAAGTGCACAACCAAATGTAGTCAATGATGCCAGGCTGTGACCATCAACGCATTACACTTGAGGACCTGCTTCAAATCATGGGTGGCTACCAGGATTAAAACCCACCCAAGGCGGCTCTCAGTGATGCCGACTCAGTGCTCGGGGCACCTGGGCCCACACGGCCACTTCTGTGTACCGCTGCACGCTCTGGAATAACACTGACCGAAGCCATCTAGAACTGTGCCGATTCGTGAGCACTAACCGCGCGTGGGTGACAGACTTAGGCAATAAATGCCACATGCGTGGCCGTGTCAGTTCCCGTGCACCAATCAAATGCATCGCAACAAAACACCGCTTTCACGTAGTGACCCGTGTTCTGTTACGATGCGTACAATCGGTATGCGTCGTGTACGACTATTCAATAACGGACACACAGCAGCGACGTCAATTGTGTAATATTGAGCATAAATTCCCACAGCGCAAAATACCTCATTCCTCCAACTCATCCTTCCACTGTGCTCGGGATGGACATTCCAATAGTAATGCTTTGCAGGTGTGGACTTTCGCTAGGAATCTAGGGTCATGCTTGCCATACCAATAACTTCGTTAAGGGACAATTTATCTCTCGGCAGCTATAATGTGCATCGTGACCAGGGCCAACGGAAAGCCACGGAAGTGCCCATTCTCTTACTATACAAAACAAGCGCGCAACAACTTCTCGTTGTTATTTTGTTCCGGGAACAAACAAACAATGTTGACTTGTTTACAACGCGTCACGTAAATGAAACTCGCGGTGTCTGATCATTTAAAAGTGTAGTGCTGTCGATGTGTAAAATAAAAAATATATTTTACAAAGCGAAGGGCCACCTGCCGAGTATTTCTATCGGCCACGATAGCGCATTGCTTCACATTCCTTTCGCAGTGCCCTCTGTTGAGCGCGGTCGCGCTACTAGTGTAGCGAGCAGAGGAGATCGGGAGAAAATATGTAAGGTCAAACGGCCGCTCGCTCGAACCGCTATAGCCACAGTGCACATTGCCTCTCCTTTGTTCATTTACAGGAAGTGTTATCATAGCTTTATGCCAAACACACGGCACTGTTGTGTGTCCCACACAGAAGACAATGAACCGCCTATGAAGGAAAGGACAAAAAGACACCAACGGACATTCCACAACGGAACGACGCATTAAAGAGAAAACGACTCAATATGCGTTGCTCTAAAAATAAGGTTCCGACACGCACATTTTATACACGGAGGATGACGCACATGCTGCATAACTGCTGAGGGTGCTGCTTCGGCTGGCTAGTGTGAAAGTTTACCAACATGATGATGTGTCGGAGAAATCCAGTTAACAGAGCAAATGTTTATCGCCCAAACACAGAGACCGCCCACCTCGGCAAAAAAAATAACACCGGAGAGATTCCACAGGAAGAATTCACAGATTCACGGATCCAAAAACGTGACGAACAAACTCGGAAGATGACGTCTACACAAAACCATTGTCACGACAGTAGCGGTAATAATGCATGCGTAGGTGTTGTTATTTACAATGCTCTGGCAGAGACGCTAAGCTATTGCTCACACTCATGCCCTGGCATGAGACCCAACAGAGGCAAAGAAATGTGCTCACTGCACGGTGAACCAAGCCACAAAGTGGCATCATGGGGCCAGTGAAAATTCCCAGAGAATTTATTTTTAAGTCAATCATCTGTGAGTGATGGCCAAGTCTAACAGTGGGGGGGGGGGGGGGGGGGGGGGCGAGGGGGGGGGCGGTGGTGCAGTGGTCAGCGCACTGTGGTATGAACCCGCTTACTTGAGCTGGATTCCTGTACACAGTTACCATCAGTGGGGAGTGATATCTGAACCAGTTCTGTCTCCAACCCTCCACCCCTACCCCCATCCCTCTTCGCCAAACAGCACGGGCCAGCGTAGTGAAGTATGGCCACACAACTCCCATGACCGACACGGCGTAATGAAGGTGTTCATCCAGCAGTGGACTGACAAAGAGCTGTAACATTATATATTTTATCTACTGTTGGACAGGACACCGCCTCCCTTCACCGCTGCACCTGAAACCCGCAGTGGGGAGCACAGCCGTAAGAGACAAATCATTTTGCTGTGGGAGTGTGGAGGGGGACAAGGAGGGGGGGTTGCCCCAACTCTTCCGAATTCATTGACACCAACGCACAAAAACTAACTTCCGAAAGAGGTGGCGTGCGGGCCGACCCAACGGGGCTCCGCCTTGCGCCTTCTTTCGCCTTCCAGGTAGCCGTGGTGAAGGAGCCTTCCCCTCCTCGCTGGGCACCTCGCATGGCTTTCCCGCTGGGGACATTGCGAGGGAACGGTCTGTCCGCTTTCCCCGGGCGCCCTCAGATGGGCAGCTGCAGCTTGGCGACGTTGCGCTGGTGCATGTTGTGGTGGCGCACGAGTTCGTCGGAGCGGGCGAACTTCTTCTGGCAGTTTGGCCAGCGGCAGACGAAGGGCTTCTCGCCTGGGGGCAGCGTTAGGCGAACGGAACAAGTGTATTTTTGGTTACATTTGCCAGGTATTGGCTCTTTTCAAGAGGCGACCTGGCCGCAGACGATAGCTTCAACGAAGTCGCTCATCGAGTTGGAATTTATATCAGCAGCTTAATGATCTGAACTCATGTTGATTCTAAATGTGGAGGGGGAAAAAAAAAACAGAGGACCCGGAGAAAATTCCTTTTTGACTACGGGAGAGAGATAACACACGAACTCTAAATATACAGGATTCAGGCTCTCCTGCATACTAGGCGAGGGAGATAACATCTTCCTTCATGCTCTAGATGGCGCACAAAGTGTGCATGAGTGAGGAGCACAGATGATACACCTGTCAGTTTCATCTCAGTCGGTTAACCCGTAACTCCTGAGAGTGGCTCGTGACCTCGTGCCAGCAAGCCTTCAACACTCCACGTGGCCAGGGAGCCTTTGACACTTCGAAGTGCCCCTAGCCTGGCGCAAGTGCTGGAATGATGTCATCTCCACTTAGAGGTCGAATGGTGGTTGTTCTTGTGGAGGGTGAGCGTACAGCCCTTTCGGCAATCCACTGCTGGGCGGGAATTTTCCTGCACCGTGCCGGCCATGAGGGTCGTGTGACCATACTTCACCACGTTGGCCGAGTGCGGGGTGGTGCAGGTGGGGAGTGGAGACGTTGAAGCATGATACAGTAGAACAATGGATTTTGCTGTACTGCCTTCGACTGCTCGCAACGTAGCACAGCCCCTCTTACTCATATCGTTTTGCGTTGCCCTCACAATGTCGGGAGTAACAAGTCGTATTTCGATTTAAAGCTTTCGTGACTGCAATGATTTTCACTCCAGCGCTGTCCTACCAGACAGTCTCGTCCCTTCACCTGATGAAGGCCGCTTGTGTTGTGGCCGAAACGTCGTGAGAATATTATTGTGTTATTTTATTTTATCAATTTATTATTTTATTCTCATTCTACGTGACTTTACCGAAAGAACCAAAGAAGATAACAAGTCGTAGTTACATACTCTTTGTTTTTTTCGGTAAAGTCATGTAGGTAAAAAATAAATAAAATCAAATAAATGAAAACAACTAAATTAAATCACGACGTTTCGGGCCCAACACAAGCGTCCTTCTTCAGAAGCGCCCGAAACGTCGTGATTTAATTTAGTTGTTTTAATTTATTCTATTAATTTTTTTACCTACGTGACTTTACCGTTAAAACCAAAGAATATGAATCCTTGCAGTCACAAAAGCTTCAAATCTAGAATCGTAGTTACATGTTCACCGATAGCAAATGTAAACTTCTACAGTACTACAAGGCTCTGTCTCTGGGGTGATCGGCTTTTTGCCAGTGCAGCTCCCAGACTGTGGAACGTTTTTTTTGCCTTTGGTAATAAGGCAACCGGAGTCGCTTCGAGCTATTTAAGTGCCGTCTTGAAAACTCACCTCTTTAAACTGGCCTTTATCCCACAGTTCTGGCCCCTTACCCTGGTGCTGTTTATTTCCTGGCTTTACAAACACAGTGGTGTTGGGATTTTTATGGACGAAATGCGCCTTACCAATGTAAATTATAATTTAAGAATAATAATTATTATTCTTATTAAGAAGATGCCATTCACCTGCGTGAACCTACGATTATTTACTGGTTATCATATATAGTACATTCCTACATTGTATTCATATGTATTCATAAAATCGTGTTTATACGTTATTTAACATAAATGTAAGTATACTATATATTAATTCTATTCATATGGCTATATATACAAATTATATATACACACGATATCAAAGGCTTGCTGCGATAACATGTATATGGAGACTATCGCATTATCAGTTTCCCTGAACTTTGTAAATGCATTTTACATTTTATCATTTTGTTTTTGTGCTTTACCGTACTGTACTTCAAGTACAAATTCAAGATTACTTTGACGTTCTTCAACTGCAGTTCACTCAGTATAGACCATCATGAGTCTTCGAATGATTGTGACTTTACAATCTATAGCGCAGTTATGTCAGTTACTAAATAACAAAATAACTAATTGCTCTATGGCAAAACATGTTTTTTTTTAATAAAACGCTGAATTGTTTTGTTCGGACTATTATTATTATTATCGTTGTTGTGGACTTTAATTGTGATTTCATGAATATTTTTCGAGGAAAGGAAATACAGTACTACGAAAAGTTAAACAAGCGGCAGTAAAAACAATTACAATATTCTGAAACACGGACGATGCGATTACCGACGATCTTATATTGTACAATATATCGCAGTGTTGCCATGTCACCGTGACCCTAATAAGCTGGAAACATACAATTACTATGACAATTCGATTAGCACGGATGGCTACGTACGGTGCGAAAGAAGTTCCACATACATACAAAATATCTGCACGTTATTCGTAAATAATTTTTGGGTCAGATCGCACGGGTACAATGCTAATGTATGTGTTGTACACCCTACCTCCGCCTGACACAGCCAAATAAATAATGTCGTTACGTGAGCAAGGACGCCAATTCTTATTGCTTCAGCACATCACTTATATTGAAGAGTTATACAAAACATTTAACAATTTGGTCCGACGTTCCTATGAGGTTCTGTATCTATGTGTGTTGAACTTCTTTCGCACTGTACGTAGCCAACCACGCTAATCGAAGGTGCGGGGGTTGGACAACAAGCTAAACACAAAAAGCAGTTGTAAAGAAATTAGTTTTCAATCTAGATGTAAAAGTGCATAGCTCCAGCGGCTTCCTAATATCAGAAGGAAGAGCGTTCCAGACGGCCGCAGAAGCGAATCTGACAGCGCTCAACGCAGTGACCGTCTATAGAAGTTTAACTGTTGTGGGGTTTCTCTCTAACACATGGGTGTGCTGAAGCAATAACAACCAAAAATGTGGCGCGTTTGTTCGTCACGTGATAACTTTATTTATTTGGCTGCGTCGAGTGGAGGAAGGTTGTACAACCCACAATGGCTTTTACTCCTCGTGCGATCTGAACGAAAAATCTATTCTGAATCATCGCTTTTGTCGCGAAAGCCCACCTGTTAAATAAAAATACGTGCATATTGTTCATATTTAATTTGCATCGTGTTGATCTATAACTTATAACAAGTGTGTTACCTAATCCTTACAGTATTTACAAAGTTTCAGTAGAAGCTGGATTTAAGCACAGTTCTCATATATCATGGGACCTCCTTAGCCAGTACCAAAATATGAGAATAGGTTTTTCCCTTTTTTTCTGGCAACAAAACAGGTGTTAAGATGTTAAAACACCAAACTGAAACCTTTAACAAGGAATCATGTCTGTATTAACCACAATACTTGTGGTGAGAATGCCTGTTGGCGTCCTCTGGTCTAACACGAGGCTCAAAAGAAAGCTGTCTCTGGTGTGGACCAATCAGTTTGAAGGACAATGCATATTTTATCAGAGTACGTTTTTTTGTTTGCATTCTGACCACAAGTATTTTGGTTAATGCAGACATGATTCCTTGTAAAAGGTTTCAGTTTGGTGTTTTAACATCTTAACACCTGTTTTGTTGCCAGAAAAAAAGGGAAAACCTATTCTCAGTTCTCATATAAGCAACACATGATTACATTACATTGTTCGGGGGGAGAAGGTAAAGATAAACTTCTGATATCAGCACCCTACTTCGGCTGACTTTGCTCCAAGGGGTGCGCTTATATCCAGCTTCTGCGGTACAGTATTTCGATTCAGCGAAGTGTCTGCAATGTGCTCAAGGGGAATAGAAGATAAAAGTACGCACTTGGTTTACCTGTATGAGTCCGCGTGTGGGTCTTCAAGTGATCAGACCGGGCAAACTTGCGATCGCACATTTTGCACTGGAATGGTTTCACCCCTGTGACACACAACAAAGACAAAATATCCCCCCCCCCGGTGTAGCCTTAACAGACTGTTGGAGCAAGTGCTGTTAGCGAGCACCTATGAAGACCACCACAGCACACACCACGCCGCATTTGTGTCCCTAGTGGCGATGTTCATACATTGCACCAGATTACTAATTTGAGGCTGAGTGGACCTAGGGGAGGCCCAGGACTTGTTCAAATATTCGCCACTGTAAGCCTTGTAGCATGGAGGGGCAAGCACTGTTCGTGAGCTCCGATTATAGCTGGCAGGAAATGCAACTGGGTGGTGTGACCAGCGCAAACACAAAGGCAAATATCACGTCCTCCCTTGTAGCCTACATCGGCTGATGTGGCAAGTGCTGCCAGTTAGCACCTTTTGCAAGCTGGCTTGCCACACAGGTGGGTAGTGTGGCCAGCTCCACACCCAGCCACCTTGATGATCTCTCCAATGCTGATATTTACACACAACACCGGCACTTATTTAAGGGTCACGATAGCTTCAGACACCGTCATGTCGCGTGTGGTCTGGATTCAAACTCTGGGATCGTAATGCGGTGCACTGATCACCGCGCTGCAGACCCACAAACAACAACAACCGCCGTTCGCCATTTAGTGGCGGTGACATCACCGCGGCGTTTGTGCCACGCTCGTTTTTTTTTAAAGTTACCTTTAAAACTGAGAATATACCGTATCGCTTTAAAATTCAAGTTACAGATATTTTCATCCATGCTCACTGCACTATATTCATTTGTATAGCAATGGCTATATCCGAGAGGGCACTGTAGCCTTCACGGGAATATGCGTTTGCTCCACATGAGGCACCCATCAGTGGCATTTGCCCCGATATGTTAACAGCACATTCAGTTCCGTTTGCTCTGATACAGAGGAAACTTTGGCTTCGGGGTCTTTAAATTCCAGTGTGCGTACACCACCGTGTTTGTAAACATCTTGTAGTCCTGCCATGACCAATTTATCATGGAATAAAAAAAATGTAGAGAAAAAAAATCACACATACGCATGGATTATGTTGCGCGCTTTCCAACGCTTGTTTGTCTTGGGAGGTATATAATCATGATCAGGACAATTTTTTTGCATATTTGCGAATAGATTTGTTTTTTTAATCTGGGTTGTGTCTCCAAAGTTTTGGGCAACGCTTTGATCACTTTGACCGCCGATGTTCAACAGGGTAAGTCCCGCATAGCAACACAACTTGATGCTAAAAGTTTAGTTAATATTGGATCATCTTAATGAGAATTACAGGGCCCCTGTCCGTGCCCCCGGCTATTAAGGACAGAGATAATTGCGTACACGCGTTCAACTGTAGGCTGACAGCATTCAATAAACCACACGCGCATGATCGATGATCCGACTGCTGTTAAGAGTTGGGTTGAATATTTGTGTCGATGCCGTGTTTTGAACCCACGAGTTCTTGCTCACCTGTGTGCCTTCGCTGATGCCTCTTGAGCTGATCGGAGCGAGAGAATCGCCTGCCACAGTCCTTGTAGTCGCACTGGTAGGGCCTCTCCCCTGCACCCGCAGACGGAGCTTTCATTAGCCACCAACGATCGGCACCGTGGTTGTCACCCTCACTTGGGTGAACGTCTCAAAAGTCGGTGACACTTACGTACCAGTGCACGAGTAACCCTCCGAAGCACACACATATTCGCTATTTACGCTGTCCTCAAAATAGCGTGAGCGGTGATATATATATAAAAATACCGTGTTTCGGATATAATGTGGTTTTTGGAGGGACGCAAAAAATGGACCGGCGTGCAGAGCAATTCCGACTCGTTGTTAGCTGCATCCCCACACTGTAGCGGGCCTCCATGCACGTTTAGTGCACGGGAACGACTGCTTTAGTGGATTGTGAGTTCCAGCATTGCCTTGTAATTGTTGTTGGTTTCAGTGAGGATTTAAAACAAATCTTTGATATTTGTTTTTATCACTTTTATAACATAAAAAAGTCATTTTTACTTTTGCTTTGTAGTCGGGTATTCACTTACTTGGTAGTATCTGTATGTATGATTTGGTCCTCATATAATTATTGTACAGCGTTATGGGATGCAATTAGTATTAATTTCGCTATATTAAATTCATGTCAGTTACATTGCACGCTGTAAATGGGCTCAATTTGGTCTGCATGGAAATACTGGGGATTTGTTACAAGAACGGATTTACCAGGGCATGGCACCTCTGAATTAGCCCAGTATTAGCATTGCACCCCTGTACCTGTTCATTGCACGCCTGTACCTGTTCTGCTTTTCTCAGCATCGCCCCCTTATTGAGCGCTAGCTGTTCTGGGAAACCCGTAACTCTTCACAGAACAAGTCTTTGTAAGTTGTGTAATACTGTAAAACACCGCTCAGGACTATGCATTTGCACGTCCTATAACCCTTCACTTTTCTGGCATTGTGAGATATTCTTCTTCTCCAAGTGATATTTTCCTTTGTCTTGTGCGTGTGTGCATCTCAAAGGTGGAAACCCTTCCCGAGCACACACACGCAACCACAGCTGAGTCTTCCTCACAGCGGCTTTTGCGTAGCCATTGAAAAAAGACGGTCACTCCATCGCGCTCTTTCCGATGCGCTTCTGCGGCCGTCTGGAACGCTCTTCCTTCCGATATTAGGAAGCCACTGGAGCTATGCACTTTTACATCTAGATTGAAAATTAATTTCTTAAGAACTTGTTTATGTGTTTAGTTTAATCTTGATTTGAAGCTTTCGTGACTGCAGGAATCCATACCCTCTGGTTCTTTCGGTAAAGTCACGTAGGTAGAAAAAATAATAAAAGAACACGACGTTTCGGTCGCAACACAAGCGTCCGTCATCAGGTGAGAAAGAATGATCTGCTGTTGTGGCTTTATATAGGCACGGGAAGGGGAGGGGGGAAGGGGAGGTTGTTGGGGTTTTGTAGAGTTTAGTGTTTAGTTTATTTTATTTCTCCTGCACATCCAATTGTTTGGCTACGTACGCACGTTTGGCTACGTACGGTGCAACTGAAGTTGAACGCAGATGCATATACGATATACGTACGTGACTGGCGCCACCATCTCACAACGTTGACGCGCACGTTCACACCTGTGTCGGTGTTCTCCACGACATTTAAGAGGAGGGGGTTTGACATCACGACGACAACGGGGAGTATTTTCACATTTGCGCATTGTTGGTGGGGTGGAGGGGGGGGGGCACACGTCAGGGGCCGCACGAAAGGCCGCCCGTGAGACCGCCAGTGGCCCCCCCACCCCCCCGCCCCCCCGGGCGGCGTGGCCTTGCAATGAGGAGCACTGACCTGTGTGCTTGCGGCAGTGCATCTGCAGGTGCGACAGCTTGAAGTAGCGCTTGCTGCAGCCCGGGTAGTTGCACATGTAGGGCCTCCTGTCGGCACGGCCCCGGCCGGACGGAGCCCCCACGGCCTGGGTGAGGGCGCCGCTGGCGGCCCCCGACACGCGACGCATTCCCTGCTGGAGGCGACGCCGCGGAAAGCAAAGAGGGGGTGGCAGCCGACACAGGCGGCTGTTACAAATCGCAGTCACGCGAGGATTCACCTAGCCACCGATGTTATAGGTGCTCAAGACGTCGTGCAGAAACGTGGGGAGCGAAATGTTATGTCGGAGAGGTGGTCAGTCATATGTCTCTCTGTGAGTCTGAGGCTGCCCCCGTCTATCTCTGTGTTCGTCTATGGGTCTCTATGTGAATTTTGTGTGTCCCTTATGTGAGTCTGTGGGTGTGCGTCTATACGATACAATGCAACACAATGTGGCTTTATGGAGCATCTTAATGCAACCACCACTGTTTATGCGTTGTGTTATATCATATCATAGAGGCATGTTAGTGTATGGGTTCCTATATGAGTCTTTGGCTCCCTATGCGAGTGTGTGGGTCTTTGTGGGGCGAAGACAACGGTAATACAATGCGAATTTACAAACAGTGACTTGCACGCCAGTCTTATATATTGCACTCCTATCGTGTTTTTATTGTTTGCTGTTGTAACTTTCTGGACATCTGTGAAAAAAGAGCTTCATAGCTCATTGGATTCCTCCAGTCCAACTAAACATTCTGATTCTGAATTCCCGGAGCGGCGTTCCAGGTGGTTCCATCTGCGAGGTTCCATCGGCGATTCAGGGCACTGCATCCCCCCCTCTCCACCGCCCATTCACCCGAAGGTTTCAGAATCTTCGCCCCGAGGCAGCGACGATTGCCCCAGGATTTCACGACGCACGTAAGAGCGCGTGACGCGTTGTTTTCGAGAAGAAGAAGAAGAAGAAGGAAAAAAGCCGCTAAGAAAGGGCGTTGTTGTTGTTGTTGTTCAACACAGAAATACTTGGAAAGGTGACGGCGGTTGCATTTTTCTCAACTACCCCAACCCCCCTCCCCATTAACATTTGTTCTTCGCTTTCAGAAAACAATTACATCAAGCTTTCACTCGGGTGCCCTCCTGGGAGACTGCCTTCGCGATCAACAGCCTTGCACGCGATTGTAATTTGATGTGAACTGGTGAAGCCCGCTTTCTGAGGGCACCACCTAATGTGAGCAGCGGTTACTGCCAAAGCCGGAGAGAGTGTTCCCAAAGCGCCTACAGCCAGAGCAAAATGAGCCGCTTGAGCAGGCGAGGGATTACTGAGACAGCACCGATCTGCATTCTCTAACGGAGACGCGGAATAAACTCGATGAGCGTGGTTCTTCTTCTTCACCAGGGGGTGCACGCTGCACCCCTGGAGGTGCGAGATGCCCCTTCTGGGGATGTGAGACCATGGGGCAGATGTTTTTTTTTAGAAGGTAAATAATCGAAACACAAATTAAGCACGTAAGACCATCTACTTTGTTTCGTCAAACCCATGTCCTGTATGCATGAACATTCTATATATATTTTTTTTTTACGATTGAGAACCAAAGGGGTGCAAGACTGCAGAAAAGCTTTAAGAACCACAGAATTAGATGAAGTGTACAGTAGTGTATACTTTATACATTGTATACATTGTGCGGTAACGGAATTACAAGAGCAATGCAGGAATATCGGCCACGGAATTGGCACTTTAATGTAGCACACCGAACGGCTGTGAGACTGTAGAGTAATTATTAAAGCACCTCTCAAATGGCGTTTGCTTGTTTGCAAATTGTCCCGTGCCGTAATTCCGTCACCGTGCAGCTGATCTTATACTTTAGCGCGTGTACAAAGATACATCAGAATCTTCATGAGAATCAGAATTTGTTTTCTTTCGACTGAAGGAATCCGATGAGCTGTGAAGCTCTTTTTTCAGAGACGTCCAATATGGGGTTGAGGGGCGAGGGGTGGTCAGAAAGTTACAACAAAAAACACGATATCCTCCATGCAGCCTTACAGACTGTTGGGACAAAGTGCCGCGAACGGGCGGATATGAAGGCCGGGGGACATCCATCGCACTGACACGTAGGTATGCACACAACAACCAGCTAGTCATTTATCGCTGAGTCAACCTGGGGGGGGCGGACCGGGTCAAATATTACTCGAGAAATGAAACGCGGAGCGCGCTAACTGCTGCGCCACCGCTCCTCACTCGCTCCGCGTCGCTCACCTGGATGCCGTGGGTCCACACGCGGTACTGGGTGCTGTAGAGGAACTGGCTGCTCGTCGTGTCCGTGCTGTACCCAGATGCGTGGTGGCTGCGAAGCAAACCAGCGCAGGGTTACTGACAACGGATCCCTCCTTAGCCCTGCGTGGCCGCAGGCAGCTGCTTGCAAGCCCAAAGTGATGTCGGCTGTGGTGTGTGCGGTCAGCACCGCGCCAGATCGCCTTTGCCTCCCGAGCACTGATGCGTAATGGCAACGTTTACTTATTTAACGCTGAGTCGACTTAGCGGTTGCATAGGACCAAGGTTTCGGATACGACGTTCTGCTGGTGTTATCCACGAGCGAGACTCGAACCCGCCATAGTGGACGTGATCGGAGTGCAGTGCGCTAACTACTGCGCGACCGCTCCCCATGGTGTAACACAGACAAGGATATCGTCCTTATAACCGATCGACTTTTGGGGCAAGTTCTGTTAGCGAACACCGATGGAGAGCCAGAAATGGCATACGAAGGGCTGATGTGGTTAGCACCACGCCCGGCCGTCTTTGTCTCCCCATTGCCGATGTTTAGCACGCACGCACGCACGCCCATCCAGTCACATGTACACGCCACGAAAACTTTAAAATTTAAGTTGCTGTGCAACATAGTAACACAATTCACGCACAAAGCATGCATTGATTCGTGCAGATATTGTATGTACAATGTATCTGTGATCGTTATTAACCATTGACGCTGTTTAGAAAATAAAAATCTGGAATCGTAAGGGTTTGACCCACTATTAAATAGCGGATATTTTTTTTACCATAATCTCCGGATAATACGATGCACAAAGGTTGGTAATGCGTCTTATAACCCGATAGAGGTGTGTGTGTGTGTGATTAGATGTGTATAACATTATTGTCACCGGGCACAAGTTAGGGGGTGCGTCTTAATAATCAGGATCAGACGATCGGTCGATCAAAGATCGTTCGCTTTGCACCGCTGCCAAGGCGCGCAAACGGCGGAGTTGGAGCGCAGTGAGTTGGAGCGCAGTGGCTGGGGGCTGTTTATGGACGTTATTGATGTAATGTTGCCGGCTGTATTCTATTGCGAACACAGTAAAAGTTTACGATGTAATTTTTACGAGAAGGAATCGAGGGTAAACCCGGATCGTGTAAACACGACCCATCTCGCAATATTTCACTTTAACCAGCACAGTTCAACCACGCGGCACTTAACACAACACGACACTCGGTGATAATAATAATAATACAGTAATAACAATAAAACACAGTCGCGCGTGTTGCATATTCATTCACAATATTGGAGCAGCGATATCAAACGATGCAAAGACCACTGGCACATAATAACGTGTCTACGACACGTGCCAATTAGTGGCGAGCAAATGCGTTCCAGGATTTCCCTCCCCCATCACCGTTGTAGCCTTCAGCGGGGGCGAGTGCTGTTAGCGAGCGCCTATTAAACAATGCCTACGCGTGGATGACCAAACAGCACCACGCCAGGCCGCCTTTGTCTCCCCAGTGCTGATGTTTACGCACTGCACCAGGTACGCCTTTAAGGCCGACTCGGCCTCCGTGTGAAGCCCCCGGGACTCGTTGAGATATTCGTCACTTGATGTTGGCCGTGATGTAACCTGGTTTGGCCGGGTTCGTATGCGCAGTGCCGATCACCACTTGTGGCACCACCGCTCTCCACAGCACCACACAGACGCACGCGCACGCACCCGTTGTAGGAGGCGGAGGAGTTCTTGAGACGCATGGCCTGGCTGGAGGCGCAACTCATCTCGGGGGAGCCGTGGCACGCGTACATGGGTGCCATGGAGAACTGCTGCTCCGGTGCTGCACACAAAGACAAAGATCCCCCGTGTAGCCTTCACCGGACTGCTGGGGCAAGTGCTTGTTAGCGAGAACATATGAAGGCCGGCGCGGCACACGAGGGGGTGGGTGGCCGGCACCCCGCCCGGCCGCATTTATCTTTCTAGTGGCAAAGTTTACACACCGCACCAGGTACTCATTTTTTGGCTGAGTCGACCTAGGGGAGGCCCACGACCGGCCGCGAACGGGAATCGAACCCGGGTGGCCGGTTTCGTAGCACAGCGCGCTTACCGCTACCCTACCGCTGCACGCACACAGAGCCACACACGCACACAGAGCCACACGCACACAGAGCCACACACCCACAGAGCCACACACACAGAGCCATACACACGCACACAGAGCCACATACACACACACACAGAGCCACACACGCGCACACAGAGCCACACACACACGCACACAGAGCCACACACACACACGCACACAGAGCCACACACACACAGAGCCACACACGCACACAGAGCTACACACGCACACAGAGCCACACACACAGAGCCACACACACGCACACAGAGCCACACACAGAGCCACACGCACACAGAGCCACACACACACGGGAGGCCTCAACTCAGCGAGCAGACCCGGCGGTAGATGCGTTCCAAAAAAACGGGCGCACAAAAGAAAAACCCCACGAGAGAGCTGCCTGCCGAGTAGCGCACACCAGTACCACGATGTTGCCCCAGGTCCGACCGCGTAGTCATTCGTTGAGTGAACTTACACCGCATAGTGGAGTAAATTTTGGGTGGAATAAGGTTATCCGCATATGCAGCGCATAAAATCGCACAAAACGAAACCCGCGCAAAGCGAGGGAAACCTGTAATTCGAAATGTACCCTACCGTGATATTTAATCAAATCGCGATGTCAAATTGAGGCAATGGAATCGTATGCGGGGCAAATCATCATAGGCCGACTTGTAACAGAAAACAACAAATACTGTAGTGGGCTCCACAGTGCACGCTATGGTCTCTTAACTACTAAGTCTAAATATCTCTCGATTCGCTCTAAAATCGTATATAATATTGTACAACAACGAAAACTAAAACCTAAAATGAACATCAGGAGCGGCTTACAGGTGTAATGCGCCCACAGCGTAACACGCATCTCGGATCGCACACAATATGTACCCAGATTGTTATTGGTGTTAGTAGCTTGGTGTGCAAATACAAAAAGATACGTGGTGTCCGTAAGGAATCGGTTTCATAATTGCAAATTTAAATTTAATCATCGTCTATGTTTAGAAATGAGTTGGGCGATTTTTTTTACAACGCGTGGCGATATTCAAACACTACTTAAGGTTATTGTTATAATTATTACTTTCTCAACGCTAAAGCAGGGGTTGGGCAACCGAAATAACAAGAAGAGCCATTTGGTTTTTTATTCGGTATAAAACTCAATATTTAAGGAGCCGCAATGCGTGTACATGCATACTACACACGTACATCACGTGACAACGCGCGCATTAAAGAGCCGCATGCGGCCGTGGAACCGCGTGTTGCCTCCCTCTGGTCAGTGCCGGATTATCCCATTAGTACAAGTAGCTACATAAGTAGATACACAAGTAGCTACACAAGTAGCTACACGTGCTACGGGCTCCGCACTTTCAATGGCCCCGCGCTAAATGCTTTCAAGCTATCAATTCCGGTTCAGCGATTCTGCACTTGCTCTATTACTATAGTACTATACTTCCTTCAACTTTTATGAACGACTGGGCGTTTAAGATTAGCGATTTGTCGTATTATCTGGCTGTATAGCAAATGAAAAAATACAATTACTGTACTATGCCAGTTAAAAATGTATGTGTTTTCATATTTACGTTTTTAAAAACAATGTAGGGCCCCTTTATACCATATGCTAAGGCCCTGCACTAGCTTAATCCGGCACTGCCCCTGGTCTAAAGTAATTTGAAGTGATGTGAATGATCTTAAACGCAGATGTCTCTCTCGGTTACACATTACATTGGTTTTTAATGTTACTAATTTTACTACATTCAAAACTAAACTTGGTTCAAACCCACTTACGCAATACCGGCTGATCACTCATTTACGCGTTCAACAAACGGCACTATGAATATGCGCTAACGTCTCTCTACAAATTAACACACGTACAATATCCAGTGCATTTAATATAGTATTACAGTGGTTACAATAAATGCATTCTGTTTGAATAGACATTCGTAATAGCCTAGTACTGTACAGTCATTGGGTACGGGAGCGGTGGTGCAGTGGCGAGTGCACTGCGCTGTAAGAACCCGGCGACTCAAATTAGATTCCTGGTCACGGCTGACATCAGTGGTAAGTGAGATTTGAACCGGTCAAGGGACAACCCCCCCCAACATCACAAACCTGCAATGACCTGCGTGGTGAAGTATGATTAAACAGGTTAAAACAACCCCACCCTATAACCAGAACGGCGTGGGGAGGTCTTCATTTAGCAGTGGATTTCCAAAACGTATGTTAACATGTATCATTATAAAGTTATTAATAAACCGGGCACTAACTAAATCCATTTCCTGCCTAACTTATCTGGACATAGACTAATAAGTTGCTATATTCATCCAGCCATACGCAAGAACACTATTATTATATTATTATTTCGTGATTAAACAATGGCATATTCAGCATTTTCCCTATTGTACGAACTAATGTATGCACTTTTAACTGCACTGGCTTACAACCGTCACACACATTACACATGCAGGGGACAGATATTTCGTGCTTACTAATCTTTGTTATTCCAACCGGCGAATGGGGGGGCCCCGTGAACTTTCTTGAGAGATACAGAAACGCAAACATTTGCGGTGCCACGCAAAAATAGCGCGCTGCGTGCTTGAACTCGTGACGTTGGCTAACTTTGACCCGACCGGTCTGGTGCGAATCCCTTTACACGCGTTCACGAAAAATGGGACAGCCTTAGATTGCTGTTGTTTTGCCGCAGTTAGAATAACCAGCAACTAGTTGTCGATGCGAACGAACAACCCACCAAAACGACCTCGTGATGTTAAGCATAGCTTTCGGCCTGCCCGTAATAGCAATCGTCGCAATCGTAAATATATCTCCGAGTTAGGAAACGAGCGACGAGTTACATGTGGCATCCTATCGCAGGCAGCTATGCAATTGCGACTGCGAAATCAGAGAGGATAGAGAGAGAGAGAGCTAGAGAGAGGTGGTGGGCAGGGGGCACGATCGCGTGGGTACCGAAAGGGGGTGGCTGGTGCCCGATAGCCTCCTCGTGCTTGAAGAAGTGGGACGGAAACTGCGGCGGTGGATGTCCCGGGTTGGGTCCGTAGCACTGGCTCGGGCTCTCGTAGCTCATCGCCGGGTAGCCGGCGTTCACTGCCGTGGGAGGCACAGAGTGGGGTATTAGAGTCGACAATTTGTCGGCCCTCCGGCGAAGTTTCCCTTCGGCGGTTGTAGCCGCGCGTTGCTCGGTGTCATTGTCTGCCCACGTTTTTGCGCTGCACGTTGCTGCGACGAAGCTAATAAGAGCACGCGGAGCGAAACGTCGGGCATCGCGCCGAAACACATCGGGGAGTTGCACAGCAGCACATGTCTACACAACTGGGTCGTTGATGCACGCTGATGCTTGCTTTGCATAATCCGTACGAGATAGGAAAACAGAACAGCCACATATTACGCATGTTTGTGACTCTGTGTCTGTTCGAACCGAGTGTACCCGTGCACGTGGATGAGGGCGTCCCCACGCTCTCTAAACCCCACGGGGTAACCCCGCAGTGGCCTATAACCCCTGCTGTGCATGGTGGTCACCATTGACAGCACTATCCAGGCTCAACCCGGTGCGTTGTGGGTGGTTTTGTAATAGAAGCAAACTTAAAGTCAAGTTGTCATTTCTGTTGGATTTATTTGAGATTTTACTGCAACACTTCGTCAACAGAGTTCACTTCGTCTCTGTCGATGAGAGGTGGGAAGGCAAAAACCCCACATTTATCCCACCGCCTGTGTTCGCTTTATACTGTTTACTTTCCCCTAGGAGCTTTGGTGAACGCAGTGCAAAGGTGGGTGCAGAGATGATCCTTGCGTTTAAAAAAAAATGCCTTTGTGCCGTGTGCACGCCAACGTGAAAGACGGAGTTCGTGCAACTTGATCATCATCAGCAGTAGCAGCGGCGGCGGCATCACCAGCGGCACAGTCACAACTTCGTCATCAAACAACGGCTTGGTCACCCAATTATTTCGGTCAAAATCAATAGCGGCACGAGGCCTTAGTCACCCGAAAAAAACTCAACACACGAGTCAACAACGCTGCCTTAAAACAAAATATATGTTAAACGACGTTTCAGAGCAATGGCCCTTCTTCATAGCGCATGCAAAAATCATCATCATCAATCTACAGTAACAAACTCATCATCAAGAAAAAGCCTTAGTCACGAAGTCATCATCATCATCAACATTCTCATCAGTGTCATCATCAAATATCATCATAAACGCAATCATCGCCAAACATCATCACCATCAATGGCATAGTTATCAAAATCATCATAACCGTATCCGTCAATAAGCTGTGTGTGTTGTATGGTTCGATTCCCGCTCACGGTCGACACCAGTAACGATTATCTGAACCGGTCCTGAGCCTCCCCTAGGTCGACTCAGCCTCAAACGAGGACCTGGTGCGGTGTGTAAACATCGCCACTAAGGGGGAGATAAAGGCGACCGGGTGTGATGGGCTACACGGGGTACCGTTGTCTTTGTTTGCGTCGCCATCAATGCAAGAACGGCAAGGCGCACGCTGATCTCTCTCTCCGTGTTTATGGTCGCGCGGGGCGTCTCGGCTCTGCCTTGTGTCCAGTGGTGACACGCGCCGCTTTCTCTAATCATCTGGGCAGCCACCTCGGCTCTCAAGTCCATCCATCAACGTCACCATTGCCTTGCAGGGGACTTCCATTGCGTTGCCTTGTTGCGTCTGCCGAGTATGAAGCGTGTGTGTGTGTGTGATACCGTATCGCGTATGGAGTTAGGATTATCGGCGTAAGGCACTACCACTAGAGTTCTGGCACGGTACGCCCTATCCGGAATTATTGCACACTCTATTCCGATAGTATGGCAAGACCATCCGCATCGTGAGGACTAAACAATGACACAAGAGAGCGTTCTGGACTGTACCGGCAAAAACACAACGAATAACTGAATAGGGTGCAGTAATATAACAAATAACGCATGCATTCTTACTGAGTGTGTGGATCGGGCTGAAACGGTGGCCCAATCCCCGCCCACGGCTAACATCAGTGGGGCGACTGACATCTGAACCGGTTCTGAACCCCACTCCTTCACCAACCCGTACTGACCAGCGTGGTGAAGTATGGTAAAACGGCCCCCATAGCCGACACAGCATGGTGAGGTTTTCACTTTGCGGTGAAGTGACATTGCCATCATCATTAATTCTCCTGTCATCTCATTGCAGCGGCTTTTGGCTCAGATGCGCTTCTGCGGCCGTCTGGAACGCTCTTCCTTCTGCTATTAGGAAGCCACTGGAACTGTGCAAATTTAAATCGTCTAGCTTGAAAACTAATTTATTTAGAACTGCTTTCTGTGTTTAGTTTGTTGTCCTTCCCCAGCCCGTACCTCCAATAAGCGTGGTTGGCTGTGTACGGTGTGAAAGAAGTTAAACATACACATGTACAGTAGTGAATGTGTAGTAGCGAGTAGTGTGTAGCAGTAAATGTGTAGTGAGTGTGTAGGCGTGAGTGTATAGTAGCGAGTGTGTAGTAGTGTGTAGTAGTGAGTGTGTGGTAGTGAGTGTGTAGTAGTGAGTGTGTAGTAGTGTGTAGTAGTGAGTGTGTGGTAGTGAGTGTGTAGTAGTGAGTGTGTAGTAGTGTAATAGTGTGTAGTAGTGAGTGTGTAGTAGTGAGTGTGTGGTAGTGTGTAGTAGTGTGTGGTAGTGTGTAGTAGTGAGTGTGTAGTAGTGAGTGTGTGGTAGTGTGTAGCAGTGAGTGTGTGGTAGTGAGTGTGTAGTAGTGTGTGGTAGTGAGTGTGTAGTAGTGAGTGTGTAGTAGTGAGTGTGTGGTAGTGTGTAGTAGTGAGTGTGTAGTAGTGAGTGTGTAGTAGTGTGTAGTAGTGAGTGTGTAGTAGTGAGTGTGTGGTAGTGTGTAGTAGTGAGTGTGTAGTAGTGAGTGTGTAGTAGTGTGTAGTAGTGAGTGTGTAGTAGTGAGTGTGTAGTAGTGTGTAGTAGTGAGTGTGTAGTAGTGAGTGTGTGGTAGTGTGTAGTAGTGAGTGTGTAGTAGTGAGTGTGTGCGTTTACATATATCACGATGCGTGTACATATATCACGATGTGTATATATATCACGATGTGTATATATGTCACGATGTGTATACGTCACAATGTGTATATGTCACAATGTGTATACGTCACAATGTGTATACGTCACAACGTGTATACGTCACAATGTATATATTTCACGATGTATAAAATGCATTTCTAGTCATTGGTTATTTCTTTAAAGTCACGTAGAAGGGAAATAATAAACCAAGAATATGAATCCCTGCATTCACGAAAGCTTTAAATCGAAAAATACATTTCTAGGTGTGTATGTTTTGCACTTTAAACTCACGATTGTCATTGTCACTGCCGTGCAACAGATTCAGACAAACGTGGGCGTCTTCTCCGGATTATAAGACGCACTTCAAAACGTGCACCCGGCGTCAACGGAGTCACGTGACTCTCGTGGCCGCTTCAAGTCGCGATTCAGACGTCAGCGCGTCTTATAATGCGCAGAACACGGTAACAGGGAGAACGTGTTTAATTTTTATTAATTTTTTACCTACGTGACTTTACCGAAGGAACGAAAACTTCAAATCAAGAATTAAGGGAGAACGTTTTGGGCTATGCGCCTTGAGCAAGGGGGGGGGGGGGGGCATGGTGTTAATGAGGAACGAAGGCGTTTGTTTTTGACTCTGATACACCGCTGCCAACGCAATCACTCTGCCTTTGTATTCGTCTTATTGTTAATGTATTTGTGTGTGTGTGTGTACGAGTCCATGACTCAATGAATTGGGTAAAACTTAACCATCGTGCGCTGTATTTAATGTTGAACTATGCGATTCGTATCGTCGTCCCGGGATGCGGCTGCATTTCGACGTTACATTCACATTTAAATTGTGCCTGTTGTTATGATAATCATCATCAGCAGCAGCAGCCATGAGTTATCCACTGCTGGATGAAGGCTTCTCCCCAGGCCGCGATGGGACGAAGCTGCCGTGATTCCAATTACAAAGTTATCAATACCCCGACTGCATTAACATTTTAAAATATACACACACCGTTCGAATGCTAAACATGGCATCACGCGGCACTTATTTACAACAGAGGTTAACATTAAATTAACTTTCGCCAGACATTAGGATTGACGAAAGTGTTGCAAATAAAAATACAAATCAATACAATTGTGGGCAATCGTAAGCAAAGGATAACTGCACAGAGCACACAACTCTTCACAGGTAACGACCACACGTACGTGCTGTGTGTGTGTGTACGTGTGCAATCTGTGTGCGTGTCCATGTTGGGAGCGGTCGTGCAGCGGCTAACGAGATGAACCTCGAACCCAACCACCCGAGTTCGATTCCCGCTCACGGCCAACACCGTGAAGCGCGCCTGAGCCTCCGCTGGGTCGACTCAGCCTCAAATGAGTACCTGGCGTGGGGTGTAAAAATCGCCACTGGGGAGACAAAGGCGGCCGGGGGTGGTGCTGGCCACCCATACCCCCCCCCCCCCTCGTCGTGTGCCGTGCCGACCCTTCAGCGGTGCTCGCTAGCAGTATGTTGTTGTCCATGCAGTCTGTAATTGTCCCCGCAAAGATGCCGCCTCGCAAGGCTATGCAAGGGCGATCTTTGTCATTGTTTATACGCATCGGAACACGCGCGCACACTCATCTGTGAACTTAAAACACACACACACGGGAGACACAGAGAAGACTTTAAATACCACAACCACACTCACCCACGCTCATCCAAGGAAAATAAACACGGACCGGAGCCAACAACATTCGCTTCGTCTCGTCACCACCACAGTCCCTTGACTGGGCCTCCCCTAGGTCGACTCAGCCTCAAATGAGTACCTGGTGTGGGAGGTGTAAACATCGCCACAGGGGAGACAAAGGCGGCCGGGCGTGGTGCTGGCCACCCACCGGTCTCTCGCGTGCCGTGCCTGCCGTGAAAGGAGCTCGCTAACAGCACTTGCCCCAACAGTCTGTTGCAGGGGATCTTTATCGTCATCAGCCATGATCAATCCACTGCTGGATGACGGCCTCCTCAAGCGCAACCTTGGATTAGCACGGTTGGCTATGTACGGTGCGAAAGAAATGCAACTCTACATAAGAGTAAA